GGTTACTCAATTTTGTCGATCTCTTTTTTTAATTTCGCAAAGCTTTCCTCATCTAAATAATCTCGCACATTGCTTGCTCACGCTTCACTTTGCTTAGTTACCTTTTCGAAATTCTCCGGACTTGGTAATTGGGCTTGTCGCTTTTTTAAGTGTTCTATTTCTAACCGTAAAGGAGTAGAAGTAATTAGTCTTTCCAATTCACTTCTTAAAGGACTTTGTGGAGAATAATACACTATCATGGCATATTCTGATTGATTGTATTCAATTTCTGCTTTTAGGGTTAATTCCTTTAATATTTCCTCAGTAGGGTTAGTTTTTAGTTGTTCATTGAGCAGTTCAATAATTTTCTCTTGAATAGTAGTTCAAGTTTTATCCACGACGGCTGAAATAAGAGGAGCTTTAATAGTTTGAGCATTAGCAATCTCAGAGTTAGGATAATAAAAAGTAAAGAATTCTTTTATTTCCAATCTCTCCTTCGGAAAAGTAGAAGGGTTTAATAGTTTTTCAAACTCTTTTCAATAGTTTTCAGTTAAGTTTATTTTTACTGAATCTAAATTTTGCTGAAAACTAGGTCAGAACTTAGGATTAGCTTCTGAATATTCAGTTTTGGTTAGTTGTTGAGCCAAGGTTCAAAATAGTAAAAGAGGATAGTAAGTTCCTGCTTTATCTGATCTTTCCAAATTAAGATAAATACTAAAACTTCCTTCCTCATTTTTCTCAGTTAATCCATTTTTAGCTCCTAACTTTTCTTGCGGGTGGTTTTTAGTGGCAAAATGAACTTTAATAGTTTCATCATTCGCTCGCGAAAATATTTCAGTTATTCTTTGAATTTCAGAAACTAACTTTTTTTGTTCTAAATCAGTGCTAATTCCTAACTCTTCATAAAGTTTTTTTTCTTCCTCGCTTTCTTGCTTAGTTTCTAATCAATCAATTTCTTTAAGTTTAATTAGTCCTGCGGTATTGATTTTAGTTAACGGAGTAGTTAAAAGAGCAGGATCAATTACTACCTTTTCTAAATTAGGAAAGGAAGTTAGTTCTAATTCTCCCCCTTCCAAAGGTTCAGTGATTTCCGAAGCAATAATTTCGGTAACTTTTTCTTTTTCCGCTTGGTTGGGAAATTTATGATTTAAATATTCTTGAATAGTGGTCATTTTCTTTATTGTAATAATTTGCCTTGGCCTTGATAAATAGTTCAGTGATAAACGGAGCAAGTATAGAGATTATTAAAAGTAGTAATTAATCCTTTTCTTCTGCCTCAGGGATCTTCGACATAAATCGGAAAAAGGGTTTTTTCTAAACTACAAAATTTATACTCTTCCTCTTTAATTCCTTGTTCTTGACAAGAAACACAGAAAGGTTTCCGAGCCGTGTAATAATCTTTTCATAGTTTTAAGGGTTGGATATTCATACTAATTTGGAATTATCTTGTCGCGAACTATTTCTTGATTGCCCTTTAAACAGTCCACAATTAAAATTCTTTCTTTATTTTCCGGTAAATAATTATCTCTTATTTTTCTTTCTTTAAGAGGACAAAAATATTTGGAGTAAGTAAAAGAGCCATATAATTCTTTACCATTTAAAAAAACGGGTTCTGGTAGACTACGCATCTCTCAATAATCACCTGATTTTTGACAAGTAAAGCAAGTGGCTAACATATTATTTACTATGCTGAATAAAGCAAGCATAAAGACTAGCCCCCATTTCATTTTCTAAAACTCTAATTTCTTCCCGCATTACTTTTATTTTCTTAATTAAATCTCTTTGCACTTCTCCTTTAAAAGTCTTTAAGTCTTTCCGAATTTCTTGGATAGTTCACTGTAAATCTTTACAGCGCTGTTCTTTTTGTTCAAGGAGTATTTCTTGGACCTTTTTACTTTTTCGCGGTTGAGCTAGGAGTTGGTTTAAGGCTATTCCTTGGCATTGACCGTTAATAATGGTTACTTGCCGGCGTTGTTTTTTAATTTTATTTTCGTAATTCATAATTTTTAATCGTTAATTTTTTTCATCAGCGACAGCGATAAACTAAATAAGCGAAAGTAAGAATAATTAATAAAAGTAAAGAATTGGAACCAATTAATCAGTTTCTTAAACATTTTAAATCTTTTACCGCTTTGGATTTACCTTCGCAAGTGGCACAAGGTTTTAACAAATGATCGATTATTTTATCTTTCTGACTGGCACAACCTCCCAAAGCTTTCATTAGTCGAGAACTAATTTCATTTCTTTCTTGCTGGTTAGCTCATTGCAGATTAGCACTTTTCTGTTGGCAAGCCAGCAGTTTATTTTCTAAATTTTGGATTTCCTTATCCTTGGCTTGGAGAGCTTGGAGATTAGTAGTTTTTAACTTTTTTATTCCTTCGCCAATATTCTTTAAATCTGCTTCATATCTTTCTAAATCTTGCTTTAACTGTTGGATTTCTTTCCAATCATTCATTAGTTTATTCTTTTAAACCAAGCTCCAATTTCACCAATTCAATCTGAGCCTCCAATTTACCCGAAACCTCTTTTACTTCCGCGATTTTTTCTCTAATTTTGGTTTGTCTAGCGGTGCCTTTTTTTTCGAGTTTATCAACTCGTTTTTGCAGTTCATCGCGTTTCTTTTCCGCTTCGTCTTTTTGGAGATTTAAGTTTTTGACGGCGACCAACAGTTTTTCAATATTAGCACTATAATCAGTTATTTTTTCTTTTAAGTCATTAAGTTCAACTTCATCTTCGTTTAATTCTTCTTCCTCTTCGCTTGCTTCACTTTCTATTATTTGTTCGTTATTATTATTTGGATCCATATTATTTAATTAAAATTTGATTTTCTAGTTTCAACTCTACCAAAGTTTCTTTAAGCAGTTGCGAAGGTTTTGCTAGCAATTCACTTAAATTCTTTAACTCGGATTTTCGTAACTTTTGCGTTTGCTTTAAGTTTAGCAACTCCTTACTTAATTGCTGATTAGTTTCTTCTAATATTCTTACATTGGCGGCTAAATTAGTAAAGGCGGCATTTTGGGCAGCTCATTCATTTTTTACCGCTTCCAATTCAGTTTGTAAGTTTTCATTTTGAGTTTGTAAAAGTAGCCTTTGTTTTGCTTCGACTTGCCTTTCGGTCTCGGATGCTACTTGAAAATTTTTTAATTGTTCGGTAAAAAGAATGATTTGTTCTTCTTTACTTTGCAATTCTTGGTTTATTCTTCTTTCACGAGCTTGCATTTCTTGTAATTCATATTTCAACTGTCCTACTTCATTTTCTCAATCTTTTTTCTTTCCTTCTTTTCAACTTAATAATTCGGCATTTAACTCTTGGGTGGAAGCTTCCAAAGCGGTTAACTCCGCCACTAATCTCTGATGTTCTTCAGAATTACAACCTTGGTTAGTTTCGGTTTCTAAATCGGTAAGTGCTAAAACTTCTTCAAAAACTTTATCTAGTTGGCTATGATTAGTCATAACGGAAGAAATGGAACTTCTTCTTTCTTCTACTTCGTTAGAGCCAAAGAAATTACCTTTCCGGAGCAGTTCAAAATAAAGGGGTGTTTGGTTTTTGCGAGGAGTAAAATTTTCTTCACAAATGGAATGCCGCGGAGAATTGGAAAGACTAGTTGGTAAACTAGCATTTGATTGAGACGGGTGAGCTTGGTTAACTTCCCGAATAGCCGTTAATTGGAACAAGCGCATGTTATCCATCTGCTTTTTAAAGGCTATTTCTCGCTCGTTTTTTTCTGCTTGATACCTAGCTTCTTGCTCATCTATTAACTGTTGCAACTCTAATCTTTCCTCGTGGGTTATGCGTTGCAGTTCGGTTAACTGATTTAAAGCCGTAGTTAAATTAGTATTAGTTTCTTCTTGATAGTTCTTTAAGCGTTGATTTTCAGTAATTTCATGAGTTAACTTTTTTTCTAACTCTAACCGGGCATTCTTTTCTTTTAACAGAGCATCTAAATAATATTTCTTGATCTTCTCTTTTTCTTCTTCGGCTTGCGACAGGTCTTCGCTAATGCAGGTTAATTCCGTTTCAGCATCCACTAACTCAGTTTCACGGGTGGTTAATTCCGTTTTTAACTTACTAATTTGTTGCTCTAATTTAGCGGTTTCGGCAATTTTCGCTTGTCGTTGATTTTCAGAACGAGCTAAATCACTTTCTTTTTGAGCTAATTGCTGGGTTAAGGATTGTAATTGTTGCTGTAAACTCTCTTGCTGGGTTTGTAGCTCAGTAATTATTTGGGTGGCACTATCTTCTAAAACTTCTTCTTGTTGCTGAACTATTTCCACAATTTCTCCTAATTCAGAAATAGTGGGAGTATTTAAGGAACGAGGGGTATGGGGAGAAAAAGAAACTGAGGAAGGAGAAATGTTTATGGTGGTGAATTCTGCGGTCAATTCATTACCTAACGATAAGCGACGAGGCTTTCGACGTTCTAATTGGCTTTTAATGCCTTGAACTTGCACCTGATAATTAAGTAGTTGTTGTTGATTAACTTTTAATTCCTCAGCTTGCTCTTGAATAGTAAGTAATAAAGAATTAATCAGGGAGAGGGAAATGGGGTTTAAATTTTCCACTGCTGCTTCATTAATTCCTAAATTATTTAAGAGTTGTTGATTAACCATGTTGCTTATAAAATGCGAATTGGTTAATCCTATATTATTATTTTATATATTAATTTATTCATTATCAAAAATACTAAAAAAAAATAAAATTTATCTTTCTTTTATAGTAAATTCATTAAAGCCTAGTTCCAATAACCTTTCTAATATGCGAGCAATGTCTTTTTTATCTTTAATGTCTTTAGTATAAATAAAAATCCAATATTTTTCGCTGTTGATTTCAGCCTTTTTTTTGGCAGTCATGCCATAAGTGTTTGTTCCAAGATTACCTTTCAATGTTTCTTCTTTAATTAATTTTCAAGTTTCGTTCATTTTCTCTCTCTCGATAGATAAGGTTATCATTCCTTTTCTCGGTTCTAAATATACTTCAGTTCATTCTCCATCCTCATTAGTAGTAGGATTTTCTAATTTTTCTAAACTAATTCTATCTTTTTCTAATTGTAAGTTTCTCTTTACAAAAGGTAAGGTTATTTTATCCATTATGTCCCAAAATCAATAATTATGGAAAATATCCGATGGCGATAAAACGTGGGCTAATTCGTGAGCCAATGTTAGAAATATTAATGATCTTGCTCTTTTTTCTAAACTGATATAAATTTTGTGTTCTTTTCTGTTATAATTTCCTCGATGCCTTGACCACTCTTCATTTTTTTCTTTCGGTCTTTCAAATAAGATATCATTAATTTTGAGTATTCCTTTTTCATCAGTAAATTTGTCTACCAATCTTCTTATTTCTGACTTCATTCACTCCAGATCTTGTTTTTCCATAAAAATCCCTTATTTCTTAACTATTTGCTAATTTCTGCTACTTAGCAATTTCTTCATAAAATCTAATAGTTTTTCTATATCTTTTTTGGCAAATTCATAACCAAGTTCTCTTTTTGCTTCTTCGTTTACTTCTCTGTGTAATTGAACAGGATGCTTAATCGCTATCCCTTCTATTCTTCTTTGAAATGAAGATTTTTCTTTTTCATTTCCTTCTTCAATTCAGAAATACTTATTAAATTTGTCTAATCCTCCTTCTTCTATATAATTCTCCACATTTTTAATTGGTCGATAATATTCTCGATCGCAATTACTACACAACCTATTATTTTTCTGCAAAGTTTTTACTAATTCAGTAAATTTATCTAATTGCTCCATTAACGGAGAAGATTTTTTATTTTCGTTAGGATCAGGAAATGAACTTTTTAATAATTCACAACAAGAGACTAATTTATACTTATTATCCTCATTCACTATTTTCTTTTCTTATTTGTTAAAATAATAATTAATCCAACCACTACTATTATCCCTATTCCTCCTAAAATGTAAGGAAAATAATTGGTTGGTTGATTTTCGTTATTTGGAGAATTATTTTTTAAATTATTAATTTCTCTTGCTAGTTCTTGTTTGTCAAGCGAATTTTTTCCTTTTTTTCCTACAAATAATTTAAATTTCTTTCAGATACTTTTTTTTTCGTTATCTGTTTCATTTAGTTGTTGATCATTAGTAACGGTGATTTGGGATGAATTATCACTAGAATTAGAGTCGAAATTGATTAATAAACTCCCATCATCTTGTTTAGTTATTTGATGAATATTGTTAGTAAGAAAATATTGTTGGATTTGGTTCAAAGTGGTCAAAGTTTGCTCTCTCTCTCTCTCTCTCTCTCTCTCTCTCTCTATCATCTTTACCGTATTTTGTTTCCAATTGTTTTAATAATTTTTCTTGCTCTAAAGTTAATGGGGTTACTAAATGTGGAGAGAGTTTATGTTGCCTTTTCATTTCTCTTAATGCCTTTAAATCTTCTTTCTCATCACGTTCATTTTCACATTTTTGTGAGCAGAATTTTCCACCTCCTAGTTCATCAACAATAAAATCTCCAAAACTACCTTTTTGACAATTAGTGCAGAATTGAAATCAATTTCAACTAAAACCAGTAAGTCCACCACTTTGATCAACGCGAGTCAAACATGACCTACATTTTCCATTTCTTATCTCTGAAAGATATCCATCTTTTTCTTGTTCTCAACAATCTAAACAAACATATAAGTGTTCCGAGTCTATTTCTTGACTATCTCTCTGATAAATATCAACAATTAGAGCTGTTATTGGTTTATTAATTCAACAACTTTTTCCGCATTTTTCACAATTTAAGTTATTATATTTTCGTGCCATAATATTTTTTCTTTTATCTCTCTAATTCTTCAATTTTTCTTTCCAATCTTTTAATTCTTTCTTCCAAAGTCTTTGGTAAAAAATTAGACAAAGTTCTTTCACTTTTTTTCACCATAATTTCCACTTCGCAATCATTACAACCAACTTTGTTTTCATCCTTAGTTCTAAATATTTTTAAGCAATAACCACATGCTTTTAATATTGAATTATTTTCTTTGGATTCTACCATCTTTCTCCATAAATTCTTATATACTATTATTTTCTACAACTTTTACAACATTTAAGAAAATTATACATATAAGGAATAAGGGAAAGTTCTTTAATTTAGTCCATCTTTTTTTTATTTTTAATTTTTTTAAATGCTCTTCTCTTTTCTTTCTTTATTATATTTCTTTCTTTTTAATAAGAAAGAAGTATTAAAACTATATATAAAAAAAGCGAATTCACAAAAAAACCATGGTAGAAAATAAAAAACAGAAGGTTACTGCTTTACAAGTAGCAAAATATTTTCTAAGTCGCGATCCTAAACGTGAATATTTTGTAACGGGGAAAATGCCAAAAATCAGCGGAATTGCCATCCCTACTATTGGTAATTTTCGCCTAAACAAATTATTGCATATTTCGCAAATTCTTTATTGTGCTAAGAAAGGAGAATATTTGTTCGATGAACCACTTATGGCTTTTGAACACGGGGGAGTAGTTTATGAAGTTTATCGCCAATTCCATTTTTTAGTTAAGCAGTATTACAATGAAACTAATCATCTTTCTTTAGAAATAAAAAACTTTCTTGATAAAATTTATAATTTTTTTCACACTCTCGAAAATGATGATTTAGAAGAATTTACTCACAACGACCCTGCTTGAATTGAAGTTTGAAATCAAGAGAATAATGGCATTAAAGAAATGGCTCATGAACAAAGATTTATTGATTATTATCAAAAGGCTACTTCTCGCTTAGTAAAGAAAGTGGGGTTGTAGAAAATGACGAAAAAGAAACGTCAAAAGAATAGGTTTAAACCAATATCTAAGAACCAAATTATTGTCAAACTTGACCTGAAATACATCTATGAGGATAAAGGTATTGATTTGCGAGGAGAAAGATATTATTTAGTAAAGAATTTTAAAGAAATCAAGAACAAAAGATTAAAAACTGAATTACTCGCTATTACTACCAAATCAAAGGATAAATGGTTTGAACTGCAATCCCCAATTAAAAAATTACCTAATTGCTTACCGAATGCTTCTTTTGCCAACCATTATCTTTTAGTAATTCTTAAATTAAAAGAAACTAAGTATCGTCGTTATCTTTGTTCTGAATGCTCACGTTTTTGTCTAGATAGTGAAGAGTTTACTGAAATTATTAATGAACACAAAAAATTTTGAAAGAAAAATTCTGGTCAACCTTTCTTAAAAACTATTGACTTAGAAATTTAAAACTTAATACAAAAATTTTCTCACAATTTATTTTCCAATACTCTCATTAAAAATAAAGAAAAAGGCGGGAGAATCAACCAACTCGCAATAGGATACCTCCCGCCTTAAAAAAGGTTATTTTTTCTCTTTTTTTCCTAATAATTCACCAACTGAACCAACTTTATCTTTTAAAAAACTTTTTCCCTGTTGCGTTAAAGTAGTTAAAAAGTCGGTTGATTGCTCTTTGGGAGTTTCCGAAACTCCATTTTCAATATTCCTTATTCTCGCAAAATGTTTGATTTCTTCTTCAATAGCCGCTTCCTCGATTTGGAGTTTAGTAAGTTTAGCCTCTCTTCAAATTTCTATTCTAGCAATCTCAGCCTTACCTTGCACTTTTATTTTTTCTTGGAGAGCTTTATTTCTAATTAATCTAACCTTCGGATCAACTTTTTTTCTTTCCTTTCAAACCTTTCATAAAAGGGTTAGATTAGGAAAAATTATTCCAATAGTGAGAGCAATTTCTTTAATAGTTGTAAATAATTCACTACTCATTTCTTAATTTGTTAGCTAAGCCACTATTTGGAAACTTTTCCAAAATCTTGTTCTTAAAGATTTCTTTTTGTCGCTCATTAGCTAGTAAATATTTATCGTATAAAAAATCTTGGAGTTTAAGGAGAGTAAATGCCGCTCCATCAACCGCCCAATCCGTTCCTTTTTCTACTAAATATTCTAAGGCTTTACCGGCTAAATCAATCGCTAAGGGTTTAAGTCAACTAATAAAAATTTCTACTCATACTCCTTCGACTCCTACTTCTCCACTTTCCGCTTGGGGAATGATTTTTTTATCAATATAATCAACGATTTGTTGTTCTTGTAAATCGGAATTATTAGTTGAACTATAATTCCATAAATGATGCATGATTTCAGTTTGGTTTTTTAAAATTAGGTTCAGTTTTTCGTCAATGGTTAAATTTTTTTGATGCATATTTTTTTATTCTTCTTGGTTATTTTCTTCTTCGGTTTCAATTTCTTGCTTAATTTTTTCTTCTTGGTTCATATTTTTTTGGATATCTTTTAACTTGCTTTCGGCTTGGTTAACTTGCTGAGTAGTTTTACCTAATCACAGTTTAAAAGTAGCTAATATTCCCAGTAAAAAAGTAAGAATTCCTCCCCCGATTTTAGCCGGTAAAGGAATTTTTTCTCAAAAACTAGGTTCTTGCTGATTTTGCTGTTCTTGGGGGCATTTAGCGTAAAAAATTTTTTCTTTATTCACGCCATCACAAGTGCCTCATACTTTCAAAATTACTTCTTGGTGTTGCGGACATTTAAAAATTTGCATGGTATCCCCAGTATCTTTTCGGCAATACTGGCAATATCACGCTTTACCCGGGATTTGTCCGGGTTGTTCGCCGAAATCTACTTCGTTAACTTCTTCTTTTTTTAGTCATTTATCGCACGCAAAACAGTAGCGATAGTGGTTATTTTGGTCGGTCATATTTTTTTTCTAAGGTTTGAATTTTTTGTTCTAATTGTTTAATTCTTTGCTCGTTTATTTTATCGGCTTGTCCCAATTCTACACTTTTTCTCGTAACGCGTAAAAAATAGCGAAAAACCATGATTAATCCGGCTAAGATAACAAAAATTAAAAAAAGCACAATGTAATATCACTTTTGGATATGTTGTAAACAATCGTTATTTAGCATCTTATTTTTGATCGTGAATGACTTTAGTCATTTGGGCTAAGAAATCATCAGCTTGCTCTTCATTTCCGTGGAGTTTCACCAGTTCATCAGATTGCTTTCTAAACTCTTTTAGCAAGTTATAATAGCCATCCATGGTATCCTCTTTTATGGCTTCCTCGGTTAACTTTTTCAAAGTTTCAGATTTAGAAATAATTTCCTCGGCATTTAAAAATTCTTTAATATTTTCTCTAATCCGATATCACTTTTCTTCCGGAGTTTCGATGCCGTTTAAAATATCAGCTAATCGTAAACAGAAAGCGGTGGCTTCACTACTTCCTTTGTAATTTATGAGATGGTTGGCTAATTTGCGAGATAATTTATCCTGTAACTTTCAATAAGCTTCAATTCCTTCTTTTTTGGCTAATTGTTCAGTGGCTTCAATTTCTTTACGAAAAGTTTGGGAGTTGCCAATGGCGGCTAAATGAGTTTGGGCTAAATTAATCCTTCTTTGGATTTCTTTTTCGTTTAAATTTGGGGGCATAATTAATTAACAGTTAGGGTTGCAAGGGGACTTTTCATTAGTAAAGTTCACACTAATTTCCCTTCTTCATTTTTCATCTTTTGATAATCAATTTCAGCATTAGTTAATTGGTATAATCCCGCTAATTTCTTAATGGTGTTAGGATTTTTGGAGCGTTTATTAGTTTCCTCATAATCTTTGGTAGCTAATTCATTAACTTTGGCTTCCACTAGACCATTTAACACAGTGCGAGTTTCTTTAATTACTTCTTCTTTTTTACCCGCTTCTAATTTGGTTCCAAAAACCGAACCAATGAATTTAGCTTTGTTGTTTAAATTTAGTCCTTGCGGATAATGCTTATCTTGGGTAATAAAGTTCGAAATCATTTCTTTTAATAAGTTCTTGGCGGTTTCTTCCCCCATCGTAATTTTGTCGGATTTTCCTAAATAACGATTTCAGAGTTTCTCACTAGGGTTAATTTCTTTATCCATAAAGGCATATCAAGGCTTAGCCATTGCTTCTTTTTTATCTTCCTCGTTATCTTGCCTTCATACCAATTTAGTCAATTTCTCTTTTTTAGATTGTTGGTCTTTGGTGATTTTGAGACCCATTAAAATCTCTTCGGGGGCTTTGCCAAAAGTTTTGGGGTCGGGGTAGGCTAAGGCTCCTCGTAAAATATCAATGTCGTAAATTTGCTCGTATTTTTTTTCTTTAATTTGTTTAGTATCTCCATTAAAAGTGGCTTTAACCATCGCCGCACTAACGTTATCGGATAAATCAATTTCTCCGCATTCTTTGGTTAAGGTAATCGCTAAACCATACTTAATTCGAGAAACTCGTCCCATTTGTTGCACTAAACTAGAAATTTGGGTAAATCCTAAGCTAGGTTCTGAATAAGTGAAATATTTTCCTAAATTAGTAGTTTCGGTAGCTCCTAAACAAATTACCGTATCAATTCCCGGCGTATAACCCATTTCTTTACTACCATCTACGTTATCGGCGGAACCCTTAGGGCGACCATGGGAAATATCTTCACAGTTTTCATCAAACTCGGGAGTATAAACCATGTAAGAGACATTATTACCCAAGGCTCGGATTTGCTCGTCGCTTAGTTCTAGGTTTTTCCCAAAAATCCAAGTATTTCCGGTCTGAATTCGTTCTTCTAAATTAACTTCTACCGGAATAGGTAAGCCAGTGTTTTCGTCCATTCACTTAATACTTCCAACCGGAACTTCCCGTAAGTTTTCCAACTTTTCTACTTGTTCGGCATTTTGGTAAATCATTAAACCCGCTGGCATATGGGGGTCTAATTTACCGCTAAATACTCTTTTCATGGGATAAGAAGAGGTAGTAGAAAATTCCGCTCCCGGAAAAGTAGCCGACATTCTTAAACAATTATAACCGGCTTTAATCATTTCAAATTGTAAAGCCTGATAACCGGCATCATTAAAATGGGCTTCGTCAAAAACGACAATGGTATCTTCTTTCGGAATCTGCTTTTCTTTGACTTGTTGTTTTTCAATGGGGTCGCTTCAACTTTCGACTCCTTTGCTTTCCACGAATAAATTACGAGCGGCAAAACCTAATAAATTACCAAAATACATAATCGATAAGCCTTTTTTGCCTTCTTCTAATCCTTCTTTTTGGTTAGTGTTGGCATTGTATCAGTAAGCAAGGTCATTTTTGGCTACTGGATAAGCCCCATGGCTTTTGTAAAGCGATTTCATTTCGGGGTCGTGCTTGCCTTCCTTGATTTCTTCTTCGGTGGCTCTTTCCGTAGGTTTTCCCCGTAAACAATAAGCCATTTCTACTTCTCCCTTGGCTCCGCCATGATAAACACAACCTCAATCTTGTAATCAACTCGAATGATGCTTTAAGGCACTATCTACTAATCCCGTAGTCGGGCAAACTAGAATAATATGTCTTTCACCCCCTCTAACTAAACAGTTAATAAGTTTAGTGGTTTTACCAATTCCCGTTCCAATCGCTAAATGACCGGCATTGCCTTTATCTCCTCCAATCACTTCGCTAACTTCTTCCACTCATTTATCTTTACTCATCATTCCTCCTTTGATGAATTTCTTCACCGTTTTAGTGCCAATTTGACAGAAATGGAGATTAGGGTCGGTTAATTTGTCAGGATTAAAAGGATAACCCTTAGCATCTTTACTTTTTTTGTAAAAGAAGTCTAATAAATAAGTCCCTTTTTGGGAAATATGTAATTTATCTTCGGCGGTAGTTTTATCTTTCGGCAATTCATAACCACCTTGTTTACTTAGTCAGGAATGGGGTTGACCTTTTTCATTGATGCCATAAAGTTGAGCATTAGGAGTATTTAAATCTTCTCATTTAGTTTCTTCTTTGAAAAGTCCTAAGGATTGCACATCTTTATCAGCGGCAATGAAATCGTTTAATCGCTTAACGGTCATGGGCTCGTAATTAGGCACATTTCAAGTATTTTGTAAATTAGTGGCTAATTTTTTTAAAGTGGTTTCATCTAGACCGCCATCCTTGGGATCAGTTAGGTAATAGTAAAGGTTTTGGCGTTGTTTTTGAATGGCTTTGGTGATTTGTTGGGCTTTGTTGGGAGGGAGGAAGTCAGTTTTTAATTCGCTAAATTGCTTATCAATGCTGGCTTGGTTAGCATCTAAATCTCGTAAAAATTGATAAGCGTTAATTTGCTTAACTAGCTTATCAACTTTGGTAATTTCTTGGTCGATAGCAGCTTTGTTAATTTTTAAGACTTCAATTCCGGTAATACCTTGGTAATTGGTTTTGCTGTCTTTGATTTCTAGGGGATTAGTTCAACCATTATCAAAGGCTTTTCGTTGGTCTAAACCAGTGTTAAGTAATCCGGTGGGGGAAGTCCTTCAAAGTTCTATTTCATTATCTTTTAAAGGAGTAGGAGTAGAACCTTGAAAATACTGCTTAAATAAAGATTTTATTTTGTTATCTCTAATTTTGCCAACTTCTCCTCAACCACGAGTATCAGGGACTTTTTTTTCGTTATAAGCAGATTGGATTTCAGTATCAGTTGGAAATTTGTCTAAATTGGTTTCCGTTTCAATTCTTTTAATAATGAATTCATGAACTTTATCAACTTCTTCGGCAGAATGCTTCAAAGTTTCTAAATGGGTGGTAGTTTGTTCGTATTCCTTACCCATCACTAATACCTTAGTAGTATAGTTTTCAATTATCTTATCATTATTTATTAAGCCATTAGGGCTATTATATCAGCCGTTATTGTAGATTAATTTGGCTACTTCAATTGATAAAGTGCTTTTTCGTCAGTTATCTTTTCAATCAGGTTTAATATTGCCTAGCGTATCATGGTTAGCAAAAAAGTTTTCTCAGGCTTTTTGGCGACGAAGGATGGGAATATCTTTTAAAACAACTTGGATTTTTTCCGGAGTAGGAGCTTTATTGATGCGGTTTTCTTCGAGTTTAGTAAAATCACCACCGACAATTTCTTCTCCTTTTAAAAGAGCATCTTTATAAACTCCTTCCGCCGTTTTTACATCACTTCCATATTTATCCGTTCAGTAAGTTTTATCATTAGTTTCAGTAATGCCATGGTCTTGATAAAACTCTCTTCAAGATTCAATGGCTTTAATCTTCGCATTGGCTTCGGCTTGAAGTAGAGCAATTTCTTCATCCTTTTTATAAAAACCTTCTCTTCTTGGTGGGATATTTTCTCCTTCAGCAGGATAAAATTTATCTGGTCCAAAAATATCGTGTATTTTTTCCAAAAGAACGCCTCCTGGTTTTAATTCTTCGAGCAGGGTTTTGTTTATTTCGGGTTTAGTTTGATAAACTCCTTCTTTGAATTTATCTGCACCCCCAAGAGCAGTTTGGATTTGTTGAAAATCTTGCTGTTTATTTCAACCTCCGATATATTCGCCGTTAGTAAAGTTTTTTTCACCAAAGACTTTATGAATATTAGCAGTGTCTTGTTCGAGATTTCAGTCGCCTTGGAATTTACCACTTTTGAAATTTTCCTTACCAAAAAACTCGTAAACGGTTTCTATCGCTACTTCTTTAACTTCTTTTTGGAAATTAGAAGAACTAGTGATATCCTGAACATATTTTAAAACTTCTTCTTTATCTACTCCTTTGGGTAGATTTTGAAGAACCTTAGTTAGTTCAGTTTTAGTTATTTGTCTAACTTTAACTTCATCAACTTTGAGTGAAGTTTTTAAATTTTCAGTTAAATCTCTTAAATTTTTAAGGGAAATTTGATTCATGTCTGTGATAAGTTAACACAGACTAGTTTTTTTCACAGACTTTTTTTATTATTATACCAAATCTAAAATACGGGAGGGTAACTAGTCTGTGTTGAGTTAAAACCTCCCGTTGGAAAATTGATTTTTTTAAAGTTTAAAAAATTTATTCCGCTTCTGTTTGTTCTTCTTCTACCAAATTTTTATCTTTTAAGGATTCTATAATTTTTGCGAAGCGTTGCTTTTTGTTAGCATCATCTTCACCTGGATTTATCTTTGTAAGTAAAGTTTTCAACCCTTCCTTTACCTTAGTTTCATCAAATTTTTTCAATTCATTGCTTAATTTCTTAAAAAACTCTTCTTCATTTTTCTTAATTTCGCCACTATCAAGTTCAACGAAACTAGAAAAAGTTTTTTCTAAAAGTTTTAAATATTTTTGCGGATCTAGTTTTCACGAGGAAAAAAAGTTATTTTCTTCTTTTCCATCCGAAACTATCGCAAAGGCTGGACGATAATCAACAAAAATTCATTTTCTTCAAATATGATCTAACAGTTTATGACACGATACATATTCGTCTAACTTCAAATATCTTTGATTAAGAGAACTTCACAAGTAAATTCCGTTACCATCAATTAGAGAAAGTTTTACATTATTCGTCATGCTACAAGGAATTACGGTAAAAGTATTTTCTAATTCTTTCAAAACTGGGCTAGGAGTAGTATAAATCGAAGCCATTTTACCTCTACCATAAAGAGAGTAGTCGATAAAACAAAGAATTTGTTTAGTGTCTCGCACATTACATCTTTCTCGACGCTTATTAAACATTGTTGAAGGAGAGGTCATTTGATAACCAACTGTAACTGCAATTTCTCCAACTAATTGCGTGTCTCGTAGTTGATCAGTATTTAATTCAACTATGGCGCCTTCGTAATAGCGATTAAGGTCACAAGCATAATTTTGAACAAACTCTTCATCGTAAAAGTCTGCTATATCATAAGCCACTTGATCAGCTTGCTTAGCTATTGTTTCGGCAGATTTTTCTCCTACCGCAATTTTTTCAATTGGTTCGCTAAAAACAGTATAGAAAATTAGTTTATCATCATCGGTAATTTCCGCCTTATGAATTACTGCATCTCCTGGTCCAAATTTTTTTTGGTCATAATCCCAGGTAAATTTTCTTGGTCGATTACTTTTTAAACCAACAATTTTTAAAACATCACCAGGAATATTTAAAACTTTGATGTGTGGTAAAATTTTACTTTGTACAATAGTTTGGTTTTGAATATCACCAACTACGGTTCGATTTCTTAAACCTTTTAAAAATTCGTTTTCTAAATTTTGGGGTTGATTGCTCTCTAAAATTGTCATATTTTTTGAGAGTAGAAAACGATTGAGGAGGTCAAAACGTTTTCTTACTCGCAGAAAACAACCTCCTCTTGATTTAGCAAATTATTTTTTTACTAAACCAATGTTTTTATAAATTAATTTTTATCGATTAACTGCTCTTAACTTTTCACGGGCTTTTTTATATTGGTCTTCTCACTTTTCTTCTTCAGTTTTGAAATATTTTCCTTTATGTTCAACTTTTAAATCTTTCTTTTCTGCTAACTGACTTTCAGCATCAATTCGACCAGCTTTTTCTTTTTCAATTACTTCCATTTGTGAAGAAATAGTTCTTTGCTGATCTCCGATTTGCTTTTTTAAAATTTTAATCGTTTCATCTCGTTTAGAAATTATATTGTCTCTAGAAGCAATTGCTTGAGTAAATGATTCAGTTTCTGCTAAATCTGAACTTTCAAATTTTTCTTTAGTTTTTTCCTCTTGATTCATATTTATTTTTCAAGAGCAAAGAAAAGATAGGAAGGACAGATATCTTTTCTAAAGCCCTTAGAAAATAGTCCTTCCTATATAGTTGGTTAGTTAACTTGAAATAACTTTGCAAGTCAACAACTATATATTTAATATTTTATTATATTTGGTAGCAGGAGAAGGATTTGAACCTTCGATCTTCTGATTATGAGCCAGACGAGTTAGACCACTACTCTAACCTGCGGTTTTCTTTACAACATCCTTTATCCTTATGATAACAACTCATGTGAGTATGTTCTCCTCTTATGAACATTCCATCTTCATCTTTATACATAACTCTTTTTTCATAAAGGCTTATTGATTTATTACAAAATTTACAACTCATACAAATTCTTTATAAAATTGGTGGAACGAAGTCCACTAAATATCATTTGGTGGAAGTGATGGGATCGAACCCATGTCCTATAAATATTTGATAATTACCTTTACAACCATATTCAGTTATGTTTCTGATTAGAGATTAACTGACAACTTAACTAATCAATAGTTTATTTTGTTTAAATAACTAGCAAAAAATAAACAAAGTTAACTAGTTATTCCCATTTGTATTACGAAACTATTGAATGGAACAATAATTAAGAACTAACTTAAAAGATTAAACTCTTAGATAGTTACCTCCGAAGTTGCTATTTAGCAATTCGTAAGGAATGTTTTGGTTTTCACCAGTTGTAATAGTTTCTTGATTTTTTGTTTCAAGATTGGTTGCCATAATTATCTCCTCATTTAAGTCAAAACTCACACTCCCATAAGTATTTTTATCTTTGATTTTCGATCCTTATTCTTTCTAGTTCTTTATGTAAATAACCGAACTCTCATTCTAATTGCGGAAAGTGATCAGTGATTAACTCTTTATTTCTCTGAATGGAAAAGGTTAGTTTATGAACCAAGTTATTAATTTTTCTAACTAGATTTCTCTCAGTGAAGGTTGCTCTTTCAGTTAATTTTTCGTTTTTGTCTGTATTTTTTGGGTTCTCTTGTAGATTTATTTTTTTTGTCATGATATATTTATATTTTATACACATTTTAAGACAAATAACCCTCGTTTAAATAATTCCTTAGTAGTTGTTGGCGGACAAAACTAGAAACAGACTTTTTAAATTCTTTTTCATGATTTTTAACTAGATTCGCCAAACAATCATTACAGATTTTTTTACCTTTATAAATTTCTAATTCAGTTCAGTAATCTCAGTTATTTTTTAAACTATATCTTTTTTGGTAAGGATTATACTTTATAAAAAAATCTTTTTTACAAAAAAAACATTGAGCAGAAATAGTTTTAGTAGGGACATTTTTTGATCTTCTAATTTTATTTCCTGTTTTTCTAGCAAAAGCTCTAAATTTCTCCTTATTTTTTGAATAATACTGGCGAAAATATTCTTTTCATTTTTGTTTTTTATTTCTAACTTCTGACATTTTTTCTTCTCTTTCCTTTCTTTCCAAACTATTCTATCTTAACTCTTTTATTAGATTCATGGTACTCAACTCCTTAGAGTACTCAACTCCAAAAAAAAAAAAAAAAAAAACAGAAATAATACAAAAAGTTTAATACTTTTGACAAAACTATGCTATAAAATATAAATATAGTTTTAAGATCTGTAAAAATCTGTTTCTTTGAAAGTTAAACACAATTATTCTTTGAAAATAAGGAAGTAGAAAAAACAAAATCTTTTCTTGATAATTTGAAAGAGAAGTTGGAAGAGCAATTAAGTGATTCAGTAAAAAAAAATAAATTAGAAGTCAAGAAATTGGTAGTTGAGGAGTTGGAGGGGATAGAAAAAAAAATTAAGAATCTTTATTATTGATTATTTGGTATTTCTTTTCTTTTTTTGATAATTATTATTGGAGTCTTTTTTTATCTAAAAAACAAATAATCTAATTTAGTAGTCAATTTCTTCTACGTTGTCAAGTAAAATAAATTCACTTTTTAGTTCTTGAAAATTAGTTAAAAAATTGACCTTTTGATAATCTTTCAACAAAAGAAAATCAGGAAACTTTTTAGTTAATTTTTCTAAATCTTCTCGGGAAATTATTTGTGTTTCTAACAAGCAATTTTTTTTTTTATAGATCCCCACATGGTACTTGCTTTCTCGGCTATCAATAGTTAATAGGCTAATGCATTTATCTTTTCCTGCTTGTAGTAATAAAGTATTAAGATGGTAAATTTTAATTTTGGGGTTTAGGACTTGCAAAGTAGTTAAAAAAGTTAAACTGACTCTTAATCCAGTTTGTCCACTAGGAGTAGAAGTAAAATAAACTTCTTTTAATTCTTTTAAGGAATATTGATGTTGGTTTAAAATCTGTTGTAAATGCCAAAAAAAGTTCTCAGAGTGTAAGCGAGTATTTTCTTTTTGAATACTAATTAGACATTTTTTATCTCGATAAAGAGTTAGAAAAAGAAAAGGGGAAGCTAAACTAAAATATAAAGCGAGGTTATCCATATACAAATTTAGTTTATATTATAAAAATTACTTAATGAACAATAGAAAACTATGAATGGTGTCAAAATTTTAAATGGTTAGAGAAAGTTTTTCCTATAATGGCTTAAAGGAAGAGTTTGAGATTTGTAGGGAAGAGTGAATGCCGATTACTCTTCCGCCTTTTACTGGTGATGATCCAAACAAAAAAATTTATGACAGCAAGCAGTCTACTAGATTGATAGATTTCTTTCTTGGTAATTATCCATGAAATGCAATTTGTAAAAGGGTAAATTGCTTTGATATTAACTTTAACCATGTTCATTCTGCACCGGAGAATGAGAAAGATTATCGAAAAAGAATAATTATTCTCTTGGAAGAAAGTAAAGAATTTAATAAGCAGGAAGTTGTTGCTAGACCAAAATATCGAGATCGCTATCAAAGAGAAATTGATAAACTTTCTAACCTTATTACTTTCTGAAAGGAGAATCATACTTTTAAAGAGCAGGTGGAAAAACTTACTCAGTATTTGGAAGATGGTGAAACAAGATTTTTTCCTAGACAAAGTCTTTTATGAAGTATAGAAGAGACTTGTGTGAAGTTTCTTGAAAGTAATAAAGATTCACAAGGAGAAAAACATTCTAACAGTTTAATAGGCAAAATTTTTTCCTCGCCTTGAACTTGGATTATTTTTTTATTGATTATTTTGTGCTTTTTTTTATTTTTTTTTTGAAAGAGAGCAAGCAGTAAGAAAGGTTTTTCCAAAGCAAGAAAGATTAAGTGCTAATTGATATAGAGGTTTAAATATCCCCCTCTAAAAAATAAATCTCGTTTTCCTTAAAACCCACCTAAAAATTCTCCTTTGGGCGGGTCAATTAATTCCTAGAAAGATAAGAACTAGTTTAAGGAATTTATCACTCCCCCTAATAATTGAAACTAATCCTTTGAATTATTAGTTTATAATCTTATAAATGCTATGAATGACAGCATAGGCAAAGAGAAAAGAAAAGGAGTTAATTAATAAACTAACCAAGCAAGCAAACCAAGGCAAAGTGTATGAAAAAGAAATTGAATTAGCCAAATTTCATGAGGAGAGAGGCAAGGTTAAATGTTCTTGTTATGATTGTGAAACTAAGAAAGAAATTCAAGGAGAAATAAAAACTGAGATAGATAAAGAATTAAGAAAAAAAGACAGCGAGAAAGAACAGTGTCCAGAATGTAAAAGGTGAGTTAAAGAATTAGATGAGGAAAGTGGAATTTGTAAAAAGTGTTCAGAGGATTATAGAAACTAAAACTTAATTATGAAAAACAAGGAAAAATTTTCTTTAAACAAAGAAATTTTCTCAAAACGAGAAAAATTTTCTCCTACTCATCCCGGAAAAATAATTGAGAGACGTTTTTTTAAAACTCGCAACTTAGTAGTGGAAAAAGTGGCTAAGGATACTTGTTTACCTCTTTACCAATTACAAGAATTAATAGAAGGAAAAAGAAATGTTGATACTGATATTGCTGGTCGTTTAGGTCTATATTTTAAAGTAGGTGCCGAAGGATTTTTAAATTTACAACAAATTTATGATTTGGAAATTTGAAAAGACCGACAAGAAGCAGTAGTTAAAAAAATAATTCGTCCTTACCAAGAAAACAAACAACATGGTCGAGAGAAAACAGTTCAAAGATAAGGACACCGAAAAAGTTTGAAATCGTATTTTTGTTAAAAAATGGAGTAAGGAATTACAAAAAAGGTGTTGAGAAGAAACGGCTACCTTGTTTGCTTTCGCCAGTGATTTAAAGAAGTTAAAAGAAGTATTTGGCACGGACTTAGAACAGTTAAAAGGGAAAAGAAAAGGTCAACACAGTATTCGAGTTAACGATCAATTTCGCATTTGTTTTATTTGAGAAAAAGGAAAAGTCTATGAATTAGAGTTAGTGGATTATCATGGAGAAAGGAAATAATTGGAATTTAGCAAAAAAAAAAAAAAAAAAACAGTATTTAAACTTTTACAAATGAACTAGCCTTTTTTTCTTGTTTCTAGCTTTCATTAGTAGTAGTGTTTTAATTTATCAATATCAAACGAATTCAAGAGAGAGATCACAAAGATTTCAAGAACGAAGGAAACAATTCCAACAGCAATATGATCTCCAACAAGAGCATTTAGTTTCTACTAATAATTTAGTTAATAATCCTAAAATTCATGCTTTTTTTGCTGATTTATTAAGAAATAATGCGGAGAAATTTGCCAAAAGTAAAAACCTTGATATTTCTCCCTTGCCTCTCGAATTTGCTGGTTTTCATGTTGACAATAGAAAAATCCACAGAATATTAGGATGATGCCAAAAAGAGCCAAAAACCGCTAAGATTAGCCTTAACCGCTTGTATCTTTTAAATAAATTCGGACATGATAAATACTTGACTAGTAATCCCTACATTAGTAATGATTACACTTATTCATTGGTTGGTTTTGCTGAGATGATCCACACTTGTTCTCATGAATTAAGCCATTATATTCAGTTTATTAAGCATGGGAGAAGTAGTTGTGAGAGTGATTTAATTTTAAGCAACGGAAGATATGATAAGAAATTAGCCAAGGAACATGAAGTCTTTACAGCAAATATTTATGAAATGCTTAGGAGGGATTTAGAGTTAGAAAGAAGGTGAAGGGTTATTTATTAGAAAACTCCATTTTTTATTCTAATAAAATACTTCAATCCATTTTTCTTACGAAAAATCAATTAGAATATCTTTTACTCGTAATCTCGTTTAAGTCATTTCCTAAAATATATTTCTTACTTTTCGGCATTTTCTCCTTAACAGTTAATCCTCCAAAAACTTTGGATCACTCTTATTTTCAATCACTCTTTTTGCTAGTTACTGAAATACTTTTTTGCAAATTTATACCAAGTACAACTAAGTAAAAAGCATTAAAATATTATATTATGATAAATATAAATGCTCAAGAATGACTAAATAATAAGTATCCTAACAAAGAAGAATTAAAAGTAATTGATGTAGAGGAAACAATTTTGGAAGGATCATTACAAATTGAGGATTTTCCTTACCTGGAAAAAATTAATGTGAAGGGGAGTTGAGATAATTGAGGTCAATTAACTAAATTGGCAATCAAAAATTGTCCCAACTTAGTTGAATTAGATTGTAGTTATAATGAAATTACCGAAGTTGTGATAGCTAATTGTCCTAAACTTAATAAACTTGATTATTCGCTTAATAAACAGTGAGAGGAATTAGCCAAATTTGATGGTTCTAAGTTAGATTACAGTGTGGTTTCTTATATCGGTTCCCTTGATTCGGAATTGTATGAACAATTAAAAGCTGGTTTACCTGGTAGCAAGCATGAAGATATAGGAAGAATGTGTTTTGGTTGTTTAGCTAATGGCGGACACGGTAATAATTCCTCTTATAGTTATCATGCCGAAGTAGAATTAACTAAGGGAGGAATGATTGAATATGCGGTTGCTACTACTGGAAATAAGCGTGAAACTTGCGAAGTTCCAGCCGAGGGAGGTTTATTAGTACTTGGCATTAATTCGACCGAGGGAGGGATCCTTAAAATAAAGCGACGAACTCAAAACCAAGCAATTAGCAAGGCGGTCGAAATTTCAGAAGAAAACCAAGAAACAGTAACTCCTATTAAGTATGATGTAAGTGAAAAAGAGTCTGAAATAACCCTCTTAAAGGCACAAATTCAATCCTTAGGTAAGCAAGTAGGAGAAGCGGGTATGAATTTAACTCAGACTGAAGTTGAATTAAGTAGTAAAGAGGAAAAGATAAAAAAAATAGATGAAGAAATCAGTCGTTTTCAGAACGAAAAGTTTCGATTAGAAGAAACCATTCAAAAATTAGTAACTAAATTACAAGAAGTTAGTGATGAACAATGACGAAAACAACTCCAAGAAGGTAAAGATGATTTAGAAAAGAAATTACTTATCATTCAAAAGAAACTAGAAGAAAGCGAAAAAACCCGCCAAGCATTACAGAAAGAAGTGAACGATTTTCAAACTAAATTAAATCAATTGGAAAGCCAAAAAAATAGTGAGTTGGAGAAAAATAAGCAACTTACTTCTGAATTGTTGGCTGAAAAAGATAAACAAATAAAAGAACTTCAAGACCATAATAATTCCCTAACGGAAAAAATAAAAGAATTAGAGAAAGTTATCGAAAGTTTACAAGCCCAATTTAGTCAAGAAAAAATAGTGGGAGAAAAAGAGGAAATAACTCTATTACAAGAACCAAGTCCAGATGATGTTTCCTTGATTTCAGCGAGTTCCAGTGAAAAAGTTGAATCGGAAGAAAAACTTTTAAAGGAAAAGTATCCGGGGTTAGCACGATTGTTAAGGGAAGCCAAAGGCAAATTAGATAGCGACCATTATAAGTGATTGATTAAAGTTTTTGAAGCCCAAGAGGAGTTAATCTATTTAGAAAATCAGGATAGTTCAAAACTTAAATCTTCTCACCATCACCAAGAAATTTCAGAAACTAAATGGAAATTAAGAAATTTTCAAAGTAAGTTAAAGCGAGCAAGTTTAGGTGATCTCTTCATTAGAAGTAAAGAGTTAATTGAAAAGCAAATAAAATCACAAAAATCCAGTTCTAACCAAACCTCACGTATTAGCCAACTCGTTAGAAATCAACGACTATCTAGTGGCGAAAGTCAGTTAAAAGCACAGCAACAGCACGTAAATCTTCCACCTAGAAAATCTCTCCAATAAGTTAGGTTGTGTAAATAGTAAGGAATTTATTTGAACTACTACTGATTATTCTGTATTAGAAAAGATACTTCATTATAGAAAAAAAATATAAGTTGGTTTGACAAATGAAATTTCTTTGAAATATTTAACTTATAAATTAGAAATTTTTTTTGCTTTTTTGCACTTATATAATTTTTATTCCTTCACAATTTAAAGAAGTTATTGTCCCTTTTTTTATTCCGACTTTTAAGATAAATAATAGTTCGTTATGAACCAATAGTTTTTCTTTATTTTGTTGGTAGGCATCGTTATCTATATTCAATTTAAAAGAATTTCTAATGTCTTGCAGAAGAATTGTGTAGTTTTTTTCATCTTTGTTTTCAATTCGAAAAACGATCGCATAGATATTAACTATTGTTTCCTGATTATTGTATTCCTCAATTTTTTTGAAAATGTCTAAAAGAGGGATTATTTTATAGTCTGCTTTTTGACTTAATTCTTTTCAACGAGAAAAATAACTGATATATAAGCCTAAAGTTTCGTATTCTCTTCGGCTTTTTAGATAGTTATTATTAGGCATTTTTTCAACTGATAATTTCAGAAAGGGTAAATTTTTGTTATCAGCGTTTTGGAGAATTTTTTTTACTCGCAAGTAACGCAAAATTGCTTCGTGGTTTCGTAGTAAAGTTTCAGTATCTATTTCTAGGCTAGCGAATAGACCAGACTTTATTCACTCAGCGAAAGTAGAAATTTCTATTTTTTCTCAAAGCAAAATAGTTCTAATTAAAAAATTTTCTCAATTTTTATAAATTCCTCCTTTTTTCCTCTCTTCAATTATTCCTTGAAATAGTTCGCTTCTATATTCCTTTAAACTATTAAATCCCATTAACAATTCGTTGTCTTTTTTAATTCAGGTCAGTTCAGAGCAGTTAATGTCTGGTCCTTTAATTTGAAAACCATAGAAAAACGCCTCTTGTAAGTAAAGTAAAGTTTTTTCTTTTCCTTTATTAAGAAAGTAAACGATTAGTTCAGAAAAAAAATTAGCTTTCAAATAAGCCAAGTAGTAGGTTAAGTAACCATATGCAACAGCATGAGATTTATTAAAGGTGTAGCCGGTGGTAATGGCAATTTGATTGTAAATTAATTTACTTTCATAGGAAGACATCTTCTTTCCCGCTTTGCTGAGAAAATCTTTTTCTAAAACTTTTTCTTTTAATTCTCTTCTTTTAATTTCTGCATCAGCAAAAGAACAATCATAAACAAGAGAAAAAATTTGGCTTATCTGCTCTTCAAATACGATAGAGTCATAAGTTTCAGATAATATTGCTTTGATGACAGGAGAAGTGAAAGTGGAGTTAGCCTTAGCAAATTTTTTTTGAGATATTTCTTCGGCTTTTTTTTTCGCACCAGGGCGGTTAAGAGCAAGAAAAAGAGTTAGTTCGGCAAAGTTTTGAGGGCGGAATTTATTGAACAAGATTCTTGAAGAGGAAGTGTCTAGTTGAAAAACACCAGTTATGAGAAAATTGCTTAGTAGTTCTCAAGTCTTTTTGTCATCCAGTCTTATTTGGTGATAATCCGGAAAGTTAATCGGGAGAAGTTCTCGTGCTTCACGGATAAGACTTAAGGTCTCTTTTAAACTCAAAAAATCATATTTTTTAAATCCTAGTTGGCCAAAGCTTTCTTCTTCAAAAAGCGCTAACAAAAAATTTTTCTCCAACTTTAAAGGAACATTACCAGTTAAAGATTGTTCAGAAATGATGACTCCTGAGGGATGAATACTGGTATCATAATACAAATTTTCAATACTTTCGGTTAAGTTAAAAAAGTCTGGATAGCGAAGTTTTCAATTGCTTGCGCCAGGAGTTTTTATGGTTAATGAAGAAATTTCTTTAAGTTTTATTTCTCCAATGCGAAAGATTTTGGCAGCTTCTTTGCAGGCGTTTTTCCAACCAATTTTTTTTTTAGTAAGGATGCGCGCTACTTGTTTTTTTGGATATTTTTGTTGCAAGTAGTTGAATATTTCTTCTTGTTCTTCAACATCTAAATCAATGTCGGGTAAAGTTTTTCTTTTCTCGTTTAAGAATCGTTCAAAGAAAAGATTGTGCTGCAAAGGATCAATGTTGGTTATTCCGAGTAAGTATGTGATTAAAGAAGAAACTGCACTACCGCGTCCGGGTCCAATAATAATGTTTTTCTTTTTTAAATGATTGACAGCATCACTAAATACCAAGAGATAGTCAACATAGTTAAACTTTTCAATAACTTTCAGTTCTTTTTCAAGGGTCTCTTGATATTTTTCCTCTTTGTCTTTTCTTAAACTTAATAATTTTTGTCAGCATTTACTTTTTAAGAGAAGTAAGTTATTTTCTTTTTTAGCTTTGTTCACTTTCCCCCCTCTAACAGAAAAATTAAGGTTAATTTTAGTCAAAAAACTTTGTCATTGAATTAGTAATAATTGGTAGAAAGTTTGATCATCAGTGCAGTAAGGAAAATACTCTTCAGAGTTTAAATAAGCTAGAAATTCTCCTCGGGTGTCAGGATTTAGGAAATAACGACTAAAATTAGTTCTTTTTCAGAGGGCAAGCAATTTTATTTCTTCACCGGTTAAAGTTTTGACGGAAAAAAAAGGCAATAATAAAGGAATAACGTTAGCAGGAAGAGAAGAAGTAGGAGAAAATAAGAAGAAGTTAAAACCAATAAGAAGATTGTCATAGTTAATTTCTTTGTTTAGCGGCTCAACTAGAATTCATTGGGTAGCAAAATATTTTATTTCTTCTAATTTTTGGGCTTCAAAGACAATAAAACAGTTCTTACTTAGTGAAGAAAGGAGAAAATCAAGTGGAAAAGTTCGATCAATTGGTGAGTCAGATGCAAATATTTTTTGCATTACTTCTTTATATCCTTTGTTGTTTTGGGGATAAATGGTAGCAAAATATTTTATTTCTTCCGCCTTTTCGCGAAAGAAAACTTTAATTCCTCAAATTGGCTTAATTTCTTTTTCCTTACATTGCTTAAAGAAATTAATTATCTCGTAAGGATAGTAGTCCGCGATGGCTAAATGTTTTAGTTTATTTACACTAGCTCAATCGACGAGTTGGGGAATTTTCAGAAAAGAGAAACTAAGATTAGAATTAGTTTGAGTGTTAAGATGTGGAAGAAGAAGTTTTTCCATATTTTTAATTTTTTAGAAATATTAAGAGTGAGAAACACTCTAATTATAATTCTTATAACCGGTTAGAAGTTAAACTTTGTTGAGAGGCGCGATAAGTTTAATTTGAATAAAAAGTCAGGTTTTTTTGTTCTTTGATTGGTTTAATTGGTTGAGAAATTAGGTTCGCTATTTTCCTTAATTTTTTCGGTGCAAACAATTATTCCTCCACCCAAGCAAATATTCTGATAATAAAAAACAGCATATTGCCCAGGAGTGATAGCTCTTTGTTTAGTTAAAAATTCTACTCGTCATTCCTTGGAATTTTTAGTTGGGAAAACTTTAACTCTGACTTCCGGTTGACGGTAACGGAATTTAGCTGTTAATTCAGTACTATTGAGGTAAGCGGTTAATTCTTTTTCTTCAACTAAAAGGTGCATATTGTTTACTAAGCACCATTTGCTGTACAATCAGTCATTTTCTCAACCACTAGCTACGTAAATAATGTTTGCTTTAACATTTTTCGCTACTACGTAATGAGGAGATTTTTGTCCCTTTAAACTTAAATTTTTCCGTTGACCAATGGTAAAATAAGGAGTTCCTGAATGCTTCCCCACTGCTTTATTATTGTTAATGTTTATTATCTTTCCTTCTTTTTTGGGAAAGTATTTAGCGAGAAAAGTTTCAAATTTGCGTTCGCCAATAAAACAAATGCCAGTTGAGTCTTTTTTTTTGGCGTTAACTAAGCCAATTTCTTCTGCAATTTGGCGCACTTCTTTTTTAGTCAAGTCTGCTAAAGGAAAAATTAATTTATTTAATAAATTACGGTCAATCTGGCAAAGAAAATAAGTTTGGTCTTTACTACTATCTTCAGGTTTGCTTAGATAATAATTTTCTTTTTCATGGGTAATTTTAGCATAGTGCCCCGTAGCAATAAAATCAGTAGCGAAAGTTTTTTTTACATATTCAACAAAAGAGTTAAACTTGATCGCACTGTTACATAAAATATCAGGATTTGGCGTAAGACCCTTTTTTAATTCGTGCAAGAAGTTGGCAAAAACTTTTTCTCAATATTCCCGAATAAAATCTACTTTGTAAATAGAAATGTCTAATTGTTGGGCAACTTTTTGAGCATCGTTTCAATCTTGGGTTTGGGAACAGATTTCTACGGCTTGGTCACCTAAATAATCGTCCCAGTTTTGCATAAAAACAGCAATTACTTCATAACCTCTTTTTTTTAAGAGATAAGCCGCTACAGCTGAGTCTACCCCGCCGCTTAATGCGACGATGACTTTCTCATTATTATTTATCATTAATATTATTTCTCTTTTAAAGGAGCAATGTTTTCCGGAGCAACGATTTTTTCAAACTCTTTGGCTAGATCAACATTTTTTACCTCCGAGAGGCAATTTTGCAACTTTTCTTCTTTTTCAATTAAATCCTTTTTTCTTTTATTAATTAATAATAATTCTGTTCCTGGATAATCTAAGTAATCGGCCGGATCTAATGGAATAAAGTGATAGTTAGCAAATTTTTCTTGCAGACTTGACGGGTAACTGGTTTTTTGCTTTTCACTCAATCCTATTCCTGGTGGAGTTTTGGAGTGAGGATTTTTAACATTAATTAAGTAATCATCTTCTTTTTGCAAATTAAATTCTTGTTGTATCTCTTTTAATTGGGAAGGTTTAATTATTTGGTAGATGAAGTGAGTGTGATTTTCATGTTTAGCAATGATGAATTTCCCTTCGGCTAGACAGTGTACAGTTGGGTCAGTAGTTTCTCCTTTGCCTGCTTGATGATGTTTTTCTTTTAGAGATTCTAATAATTCTGATTCAGTCTTGTTGGATGCCTCGACAAAGAGGAAGTATTTATCTTTAATTTCCACTGGCAAATGCTTTTTGCCTACTATCAATAAATCGTATTTTCTGGGCTTGCTAGACAAAACTAAAGAAAATCTTTGGACTTTTTCGGAGTTTTTAGCTTTGGGGCGGTAGAAAAAGTAAATACCTCCGCTTCTCAAAATTGTAATTTTGCTGTTCATAATCATATTTATTATTAATGATTTAAATAAATTTAACTTTTCTAGTTGGAGTAATTATTTCATAATCTGAATTAACTCCCAATGTAAAAGTATCATTGCCATCTTCTTTCCAATTACCTCGTTCTTCCAAACTTCATTTTTCGGCTCATCCTCCATGTTCCAGATCTAAATTAGCACTTAATTTTAACTCAATTTTTGCTCCTTCCTTAAAGATACCATCTATATCAAAAATTTCACTATTTCTATTTTTATAAGTAAGGTGGATTTGTTCTATTTTTATTTTTTTTCCTCCTTTTCAAAAAGTAGTAATTAGTGGAGTTTTGATATTATAAGCAACTTGTTCATATCCTAAACCATCTATTCACTTTTGTTCTCTAAAATAGCCACCATTCTCAAAATCCTTAAATTTTTCAACTTCCATAGGAATTACTATTCTGTCATCTTCAAATTCCATCAAAAACTCTGTTTTTTCTTTTTTTCCTAACGAATCATGAGGATCCAAAATAAAGAAATAAGTCTCTATCTTTTTTATTTGTCTCTGAGATTGCTGATTGTCATTCCTATTACTTCCAGAAACTTTATAAATAAAAAGACTGACAACAATTACTATTAATAAAAAAACTGAAAAGGTTACTATCATTCGGTGTTTTTCTTTCGCCATGATTAACGAAATTTTACAGAAAAACTCTCAATATCCTAACTTTTTAAGAAAAATGTTTATTTTTTCTTTGTAAATTCATCGAATCTCTTTTCTTTTAGTTGAGAATTAAAAATATATTAATGGTTAATTCACTAACTGGTACTACTAGTATTAAAGACATTCATCAGAAAGCAAAATTTCTAAGTGAATTAGAGAAAATTAAAGTTGGAGGGTGAGTAAAATCAGTACGGGAAAGCAAGGGTATCATTTTTATTGATCTTAATGACGGTTCGAGTTTAGAAAGTTTACAACTTGTTATTTACCAAAAAAATTTTTCTTCTCAGGCTGATTTATTAGAGAAAATTAATTTCGCTAGTAGTTTAGTGGTTAATGGTCAATTAAGCCTTACCCCTGAGCGAGAACAAATTTGTGAATTAAGGGTTTCTGAAATAGAATTCATTAACTCGAATGCTGAGGATTATCCTCTACAAAAAAAGAGTATTCCCTTAGAAGTAGTTAGGGATTACCCTCATTTAAGAGCCAAAACTAACTATTTTTTAGTAATCTTTCGTTTAAGGAATTCAATTAGTAAAGCCATTCACGAATTTTTTAATCAAGAAGGATTCTACTACATTTCCACTCCAATTATCACTAGCAATGATGCAGAAGGGGCAGGAGAACTTTTTAACCTCACTACTAGCAAAAAGGACCTATTTTTTTCTAAACCTGCTAAATTAACTGTTAGTGGACAATTACAGGCTGAAGCATTAGTTCAAGGATTAGGTAAAGTTTATACTTTTGGGACTTGTTTTAGAGCAGAAAAATCGCATACTACTCGCCACTTAGCCGAGTTTTGAATGGTAGAGTCAGAAATGGTTTTCACTGATTTAAAAGGAATAATTAGATTAGCAGAAAAAATGATAAAATATGTGACGAATTATGTTCTAAACAACAATAGTGCTGAATTAAAATATTTAGAAAATTATGATGAGAAAAACGAAAAAAAAATAATTGGCAAATTAAAAAAACTTGCCGATGAAAGTTTCAAAAAAATTGACTACGGAGAAAGTATTAAACTCTTAGAAGAAAATAGCCAAAAATTTGTTTTTAATAGTATTAAATGAGGAATGGACCTTCAGTCTGAGCACGAAAAATTTCTTTGCCAGCATTTCAATAATAGCCCGGTTTTTATCACTAATTACCCAACTAATCTAAAGGCTTTTTACATGAAAAACAATCCAAACGGTAAAACAGTTTCTTGTTTTGATTTATTGCTTCCAGAAGTTGGCGAATTAGTTGGTGGCAGCATGCGAGAGGATAATTATAGAATCTTGCGCGATAAAGCTCAAAAAATAGGGCTAGATATTAATAATTTAAATTGGTATTTTGATTTACGAAAATATGGTTATGCTCCTAGTGGCGGGTTTGGTTTAGGCTTAGAAAGATTAATCATGTTTATTAGTGGCACTGAGAATATTCGAGACACAATTGCTTTTCCTCGCTGTTCTTCTTAGTGAAGCGTGAAGCAAGGTTATTATCAGAACCCGATTAAACTTGAAAAAGTCAAAAATGACTACACTATCAATGAAACACAAAAAGTACTAGTTATCAAGCATTTGGCAGAGTTATATTAGAGAAAAGAAGAAATTTAATAAAAAATTTAAACTCTAATCTTTAAGAAAAAAAGGACTTACTAACTAAACGAGTAAATATGCTTAAAAAAGGAATGTTAAGATTTAGAGATTTAGAAGTCGAGATTGATTTATTGAGATGTTGAAGTAAGTTAACAACAACAAGGAGAATTAATGCCATCAGTAAATACTCTTACTGGTATATCTTCTTCTAGTTCAGAAAAAAAGACAGTATAACCTCCCCCTCATATTTTATAATCCTTTAATTGCTCTTCTTTGACTTCTTTTAAACAAAATCATTCTTTAACAATTAAGTCCATTGGTAAACTAATTTCTCTTCGATCTTCTAATTGAACTGTAATTTTACCTTTGCTTACTTGACAATTAATTATTTTGGGGTGATAATGTTCCTTTAAAAAAACATTTTTTCCTTCTACCTTATTAATTTTTACTTCTTCTTGTCTTTCTCTTAATCTTGCCATAATAATTTATTTTTTAGAACGGTGGAACTTTAATGTTCCTTTTTTGCAATTCTTCTCTTATTCTTTGTTTTATGTCAATTATGTTGTCAGCAACAAATCGAACCAGTTTTTTTTCCAAAGGAGGAGGAATGTCGGTTGGTTGGCTTTCATCTCTTTCCACAGGATTTAAACGAACTTTCATACTTCCTTTTTCTCCTAAAACATGGATATGCATTTCTTTATTAGGATCTTCGGAAAATTCACTGGGACGAAGAAAAAAATCATAACCTTTATAATTTCTTCTTTGATCTTTTTTAGCAAAAACAGAAATAAATATTGGACCACTAAACATATCAACCGTGGGAACACTTATTAAAACTATGTCTTCTTCCATTAGATAATAATTATTTTCAGTATTCTTTTTTTACCATATTTTTGCTTCCGTATAGGAAAAAATGAATTAATAACTAAAACCAGTTAAGTATACGGAGATATACCCAAGTGGCTGAAGGGGGCAGTTTCGAAAACTGTTAGGGAGTAAAATCCGCGGGGGTTCAAATCCCTCTATCTCCGCCAGAAAAGATAAAAATAAGTTATGTTAATAGTTCTAGTTGGTATTCCTGGCTCTGGTAAATCTACTACAGTCAAAAAATTAGCTTCGCTCATGAAAATTAAATGTTTTGTCGAGCCAGAAGAAAAGAAATGAGCAGATGCAGCCAAAGATTGAAAAACTTATGGTAGTTTTTCGATGTTAATGTGGTTTCGTTCAATTCGTACCCCCATGTTAATCGAAGCTGATAGATTAAGTGAAAACGGTGAAACAGTTTTGATTGATACTTATTATGACAAACTTCTCCACTATTATATAGATAAGCATTGCATGCGTTGATTGCTTGCTCCCTCTGACCGTTATTTTCCAGTCATGAAAGAAATTGCCGCTATTGACAAGGATGTTCTACCAGATGCCGATTTGATTATTTTTTTTGAAGTGGAAAAAGAAAACTGACTCAGTTTTTTAAAATCTAGAAATCGCCTTGCCGATAACGAAGAAATATTTTTAAAGAATTTTGAAACCCAAAAATTTTTATTAGAAGCTACCCAAAAACTATGCGAAGAAAGGGGGATCGAATTAATAATTTTTCAACAAAATAATTCTTCATTAGAAAAGTCAGTTAAAAAACTAAAGGAAATACTAGACAAAAAACTAATAAAAAAAGCATCATAAATTAAAAAAATAAATATAATAACGGAAAGTGGCCTAATGGCAAGGCACTTGGTTTGGGACCAAGGGATTGTGAGTTCGAATCTCGCCTTTCCGACCATTATCAATTAATAATTTTCTCTCGGAGTTTTAGGACTCTGAATACTGCGAAATAACCCAACATATACGAGGCAGAGTAGTAGTATTGGTGAAGTAGTACTTGATAATAGTTAAAAACCAATCTTTTTATTTCTTATTCTCTTTTTTAATTTTTATTTTTTTGTAGGATTTTTTGTCTTTGTTTTTTTCTCTTGTTCTTTGTTTTAATAGTTATTAAATAGTGTTGAAAATACTAAGAAAACAACTAGTTAAATATTCGCCAATAGATAAAGTTAGAAAGCGAAAAACAAAGTAAAAAGAACCCATTTTTAGTTTCTCAAAACTCAAGGTGATTAAGTTGGTAAAGCAGTAACTCAAGCAGTAGTTCAAAAGGAAAACTAAGAACCAAATCAACCTAATTCTTACTAATCATAATAAAAAGTTGAAAGTTAAGTGTTAATTGAGTAATGAGTTAAAAAGTTAAGCGTTGAGAGTTTAAGAGAAAGAAAATGATAGCACAACACCATTAATGGTGTGAAGTGCATAAATAGTTGAAAAAGAATTGAAAAAAACTCATGGGAGCGAAACTTGCTTACAGCAAGTGTAGCGTATATTAAGCAAATTTAGCATATAGGGTGGAGAAAATATTCTTACGAATATCTATTACCCACCCATTATAAAGAAAAGTTAAAAAAAAGAAAAAATCATGCTCAGCGAATTAATCATCATCCTGCTAATTTTTAGTTTAGGAATAATAACTACTCTCAGTGTTTTACTTTATCTTTTTCGGATTAAATGTCCTAAATGCCAAAAAAAGAAACCAGTTCAGGAAATTATTACTCTGAACCATTGAGAACTGAAAGGACAGCACTGCGATCAATGCACTAAAGAAAAAAGTCAATTAGAAATTTTTTAACCATATTATGAACCATACTAATTTACTAACTAATCAAGAACTTTTGAAAGAATTAGAAAAAAGATTACTCAACTTTAACAGAGATGAACTGCTAATTTTAGGAAAGATGATGATTACACTTAATCCCCGCGGAGAAGAAGTCTTGAAGCATTTTAAAGAAAAATATCCTGAAACTCACAATTTAATGAAAGAAAATATCCAAAAATGAGAAGAAATAGAGAAACAAGAAAGCACAATAAAGGTGACCATTTATCGTTGTCAAGGATGTAGAGAACTAATACTAGTTGGAGCTGATGAAAAACATGAAAATATTTGTTCTAAGTGTTTAGAAAATAAGAAAAATCAATAACCCTATGAATCAAGAATATAGTGTCAAAACATCTATCACTGATATTGAACCTAAATTAGATAAAAATCAAAATCTTTATTTTAAACTCTTGATAAAGTGAAATGAAGGTACCCAAATATTCTACGCTTTTTCTTATAATTTGTCTGAAAAGAATTTGCAAACTCTTAAAGAAAGCCCTGAGAAAATAATCAATCAACTAGTTCTCATTACTTATCAAGAACTACCTAATAAAGATAAAAATGGAACTTTTTATAAAGTGAAAAGATTAGAACTAATCACTTAACAAAAGAAACCAATTTGTTAAGTTAGAGCCTAATTTTAGTGCTTTTTATCTTGCTAACTTAACATTTTTGCTTACCTTAACTTAACAAAAATGCCATGACCAGCCACCCATATATTAAAATTGACCGACGAAACACATTATTTAGAGAAAGAAAAAAAATAGTAGACAATCATATTAAAACGAGAGGAATTAAGCAAGCCTTTAAGAATTGACAAGAATATGCAGAATTAAGAAAAGACCCTAGTGGAAAGATAAGTGATGCTGAATGATACTGATTAAATAAAGAAACTATTAACTACCTCATAGAGGTAAATACTAAGAAACATATAAACAGTAGAAACTAACATGACAATCCAAACTAAACCATGTCCATGTGGAGAACCAGCTAACCAATTAGTAATTATCAAAGGATATTCTTATTATTTATGTGAGAAACATGTCCAATCCTTGGAACAATTTTTAGGAGAAAAACTGGAACCACTGACGAATAAGTATTATTGTCTGAATAATTTTTCTAGTCTGAATAATGAATAAACAAGAACTTAATAAAAACTACTATCAAACGCATAAGGAAGTTATTAAAGCCCGTCAAAAAGAGCGTTATCAGTTAAAAAAAACCACTCCAACTCCTAAGCGAAAAAGTCTAGGCACTTATTATCATGCTCACAATATTAAAGTCTTAATTTCCCTTAAAGATTACTTAGAAAGTAGTAGCCAAAGAATGAAACTTTGATATCGTTTTGCTTCGGTTCTTACTCATGTTAAATGTCGGGGAAGCAATTCACTTTGGGAAATTAGGAACTTTTAAGAAATCGCAACGTGAAGTAAATGGTTATGTCGGTTATCAGTATAGTTTCAAAGCGGGTACACTGCTTAAAAAGTAATGTCACAAGAAATTAAGAAAGTAACTAACGGCCATTTAACCGCTCGCGATAGTAAACGCACCATTACTTTTACGTGAGGTAAATACTCGATTACCATTATTTGTTTCACTGCCTTAGCGATTTCAATTATTCAAAAACTAAATTTTTAAATCTATGCTAGAGCAATTAATTAAAAAGGAAAATACCGTTTTAGTCATTGGAATAATTTGCTTGGCGCTTTGATATTATCGCCAGGCCATTAATCAAAATCAACAAGTACAAAATTTAATCAGTCTTTTACCGATCATTGGCGGTTTAGCCTTTGGTTTCAATACCCTTATTAACTTAACTAAATAATTATGTCTTTTACTGAAAACAACCAAAAAAATAACCTTCAAAACTCCGCAGAAAATAATTCTGAAATGAGTGGATTTGTCGGAAAAATCATGCCCTATATTCCTTTAATCTTGGAAGACATTACCGGACAAAAGATGAGAATGGGCGGCACCATTGGTGATATTCTCGCTTGTTTACAACGCTTAGAACAAAAATTTGATGGCTTTGCGAAAAATACTGCCGAACAATTCATTCTTCAAGAAAAACAAATCAGCACTTTGCTCAATCAAACTCAATCCTTAACTGATTTCCGCTCTTCCTTGGAAGGTAAAGAAATTAAGTTTATCAAAAATTAATGCCTATGTTTCACGAAATAAAGGAAGAATTAAGCCAAATTAAATCCTTATTACAGGATATCAAAAAAATTTTACAAAACCAAAAATCTGCTAATTAATTATGTTAAAAACTGAAGACGCTCCCCTTAAAGATACGGTCATCCTTTATACTTTGTCAGGTGCCTTGGTTCTGATTGGAATCAGTTGACTGGCGATGGGTTGACAAGTTTACCGGAATCAAAAAAACTAATCACGATAATTATGTTCAACAAAAAAAATACTAAAAAAACTAACGAAAATAATCCAGAAAATCCAAAAACTAACGACAATTCTTTGAAGTCTTGAATCACGGGCAAATTAGGTTCTTTTCTTTTACTCTCCGCTACCGGTTATGCCCTTTATAAATTTGGGATTATCAATAAAATTGCCAGTTTCTTAAAGCCTGGTAAAGGCAAAGAAAAAGAATCTGAATAATCATGATGAATAACCAAGAAGTTAATAGTTTAAATAATAATTCTCAACAAATTGCTAATGCTCCTAATTTCTCTATCACTTGCTCGTGCCATATTATTAATCCGAAAGTTCACCGCTTAATTTTATGAAAAGAAGTTGATCCAATAACTAAAGAAGAAAAATACACCTTACGGATTGGCGGACAAAGATTTGTAAGTTTACCTAATTTAGATAAAAACGGACAAACTTATTGACGCTTTAAAGGAGCAGGATTTTTTAAAGAAGAAAATAATTCAATTGCTTCGGAAAAAACTATTCCAGTAAGTGAAACCATTCCGGCGGTGAACGAAACCACTAATTCAGTTGAAAGCCAAGCAACTAGTCAAACTACTAATGAATAATTATGTGTAACCAACCATCTACTAAAGTATTTCCCGAACCAGTAAAAAAGAAAGTTAAAAAAAATACGGCTGATTATTACCTCTGTCTAATGCACCAAGCTCAACAAGGATTTCAACAACCCATTACTAAGGTTTGTCGAGAATGTAAGTTAAACAATAATGAACTAACTAAGCAGCGCCAGCAAGCAGTTACTAATTTAATGAGTGCTTACGAGCAAATGGGTCATGGTTTAAGAAATTTACTTACCCCCTTTGAAAATAATTAAAAGTTATGGTCTTTGGAATTAATTTACCCGATTGGAAAAGCAGTTTACAAGAAGCTTTAACTAATTATGTAAAAACTCCTTTGGAGCAAAGCACTGCTAGCTTTACTAAGTTAGCAGAAAATAAAGCCCAGGAATTCAAAGCTAGTAATCAGGCTTTTCAAAAAACAGTCATTGCCATTTTATTTGCTTCCTTCTTAGTCCTCGCCCTTAATACTTTTAAAGATTATGACTAAGCAAGACCAATTACAACAAGAGTTAAAAGAAACCGTAACGCCTGGAATTAAACCTTCGGATATTAAACGTTTAAAAAGAAGTAAAAGTTTAGGTGATATCCCTCTTGCTCCCCCTCCTCCTAATCATGAACTAACTCTTTTACAAACCGAAAATAAGGAGTTAAAAAAGCAAGTTACTGAATTACAAGATCAAATTTTAGAACTTCGTTTAAGTAAGATTAAAGACTTTGGAGCATACCGGGAAAATTTGAAAGAAACTGAAAAGGATTTATCTGCTCAGATTAGCCAAGATAATCAAGAAATTACTAATTTAGAACAAAGAGTTCAAGCACTCTTAAAAGAAAGCACTCGTTTATCCGGTGAAAAAGCTTTATTAGAATGAAAATTAAGCAAAAAGGAGTTAGGAGAAAACTCTGCTTCTTTTGACTGATGAATTGATTATGGACCAATCATTGGACTAGTTTTAGCGGCTTGATTAGGAGTTTGATTACTCAGTAAAGATTCTAAATAATCTAAAATCTATGGAAGAACTAATTATTATCACCCTCTTATTAGTTGGTAGTTATTATTTTTTAACTCACCAACCAAAGGAAAAAGAAAAACCACTTACTACTAGCCTTAGCACCCAAACTGATCCTTTATCGGCTGAGCAAGAAAAACTTTTAGAAAGCACCTTGGATGAACTTATTAGAGAAATTAAACAATTAAATCACCAACTTAAATAATATGACTTTAAAAGAAAAATTAGCATTATTAAAAACTGAATTTACTAATTTAAAAACTAAAATCACCACTAAATTACAACAAAAAGATCAAACTATTACGGAAACTAACACTAAATTAACTGAATCTAATCGTAAACTAGAAACAGTTACTAAAGAGAATTCCGAGAATGAAAAAGTTTTAGAAACTTTATTAAAGGAATTTAAAGAGTTAATCGAACAATTAAACTAACATGTTAATTAGAGAAGAAGTTTTAAATACTTGAAACAATTTGAAACATGAGGTTGGTTATTTACAAAGAGATCATCAAGAAGCTACTGAAATCTTAAAAAGAGAGGTCAAAGCGTTATGAGACTCCGGTGAAATGGTTCGAATGGCGGTGGCTCGAAATCTATTAAGAAGACTTAGAGAATCAGTATTTGGAGATTGGGATTATCTTATCAACCATGAGTTGGTCCTCAAACTCATTCTGAAAAAGTCTATCTTGACCAAACCAAAGAAGAAATTGGTTTAAAAGATTTTCTTCAACTCAGAAGCCGAGTTAAAGAATTACCCTCTACGGAACAAAAAGGCTATGAAAAACAGTTAAAAGTTAAAGAGTTAACCATTACTAATCTAGAAGAAAAACTGGAAAAGGTTAGAGAATTAATTGTGGAGAACAAGTTAGAAAAATTAAAAGCCATGATGAAAAAAGGAGAAATCTAAATAAATACTTCTTTTTTTACTAATTTAAGGACAGTATTTAATCTCTCAGTCTTTATAGTTAGACTTTAAAGAAACTAAAAAAAAAGCAAAAAAAGTTTAGTTGACAAGTGATTAAAAATAAATTAAGAATATAATGCCCAGAGTTTGAGAAGAAAGAGGTTATAAATTTTATCTTTATCTAAACGAAAGTAAATTTGAACCGGCTCATGTTCATGTCCTTGGAAATGACGGTGAAATGAAAGTTTGATTAAATGATGATTTAGATATTGCTGAGTGTTATGATATTCCTTATCATGAATGAAGTAAAATACTAAAAATCATTAAAAAACAACAAGCATTTTTTATAAAAAAATATTATGAATTCAACCAATCGAGTTTCAAGAATTAAAGAAAGAGATAATGAGCAAAATATCTCCTCTCTTAAAATAGTTGAACCAACTATCTCCCAAGTAGAATGTAATAAAGAAACCATTACCGTTCATTTAAGTGATAGTCGAATAGTTACTATTCCCACTGGTTGATACAAAGTTTTGCGGGAAGCTAGTGCTAAACAGTTAAAAAATGTTCGCATTATGCCCGCTAAGAAAGGTATTTATTGACCTGATTTAGAAGAATTTCTAAGCATTAAGGCTTTTACTCAGGGCTTAAATGCGGGTTGTTAGCATTTTTACATCTTTTTTATTTTTTTACTTGCTCAATCTGGCGAGAAAATAGTCTTTTTTTGCTAAACTAAATTTTTATTTTACCCTTAAACAAGGATAGAATTATTTTTTTAAAAATATGACAAGAAAAAAAGCAAGGAAAACCATAAATACTGCAAGTACTAGTAGTTATACTTTTACTGATGCTGAAAGAATGAAAGAAAATTTTTTTGCTCATACTACGGTTCGACAAGCTCAAAAAATTAGCGGTGATGCAGGGTATTGAGATGGCGGTCGCTGTGAATGAGGCGGTTCGCACAATTTACAAGAGGATTGCGAAGAGTTAGCCAAATTCTTTAATAGTATTGCTGAGATTGATAGCGACATTGAGAAAATAAAACTTTCGGCTAATGAAGAAATATTTAATGCTAATAAACAACAACTAATTAGTAAAATGCAAGACCTTGTTAATAAATGTCAAGTGACTAGTGCCACTTCAGTTGGTGGGGTTTGCATCATTTGAAATGATTTTTTTGGTAGTTTCTTAAAACTGTTCCTTGATGAATTCTCCGACAAATTAACTAGACAATTAAAAGAAGTAGAAAAATTAGAACCTAAACATCAAAAAGAACTTTTAGATTTAGAAAGTCAAGCCAGAGCAGCCGAAAGTGCTTATAAAGAAAACTTACAAAAAGCAAATGATGAAACTGATGAAAAAAAGAAAGCAGAATTTATTGTTCTCGCTAATCGTGCTGCTCGGGATGCGGAAAAAATTAAGCAAAAGATAAAAACTAATCCTTTGATGGAAGTTGGTAATTTCAATTATTTAGATGACTTAAAGAAATTAGCCAAGGGTAATGTTCCTAAAAATGCTAGTTCGGATAGAAAAACACCTCACAACAATCCTAATAATAATCACCAAGACAGTGATAATTTTTTAACTAAATATCGTAAGGAAATTTTCATGGCAGTAGTTGGATTAGGGATAATGTTTTATCTTTACAGCGACGATAATAATTCAGTAAGAGAATAATAGTTATGAAAAATAATAAAAGCAAGCGAAATTTACTACTGTTAACTGTCGGAGTAGGATTAGCCTATTACTTTTTCATTTACTTACCCGAAGAAGAGGAAGAAAATAATAAAAAGAGACAAAATAATCAGCATTCATCGACCTCGTCAGAAGAAAATAAATCTCCGGAAGAATTAAAAAAAGAACAAGAAAAAGATGCTTGAGAAAAAGGAAGGATTTGAGAATTACCAGTTAATAGTTGAGCCGATAGAATAGTAAATGGAAAAAAAAGTTCTCTAATTGGTGAATATCAAAAATTTGCTTCTCTATTTCCAAATGGCGATAAAGATGAAAGGTTTTATTTCTCGCGGGCTGCTCCTTATACTATTCATTTCCCACCTTCTTTACAAGAATACTACGAAAAGGGTAAAGATTTAGAATTTAATTGCAACCTTCTTGAAGATGAAGAAGAATTAATTTTATCAAAAGCAATTAATAAGTGATTAGAAAGAGTAGAATCTAACCCAGTAAGAGGTGAAAAAGACAGAAATAAAAAAGACAATAGTGCTATTTTTTACGGAGCTCCGGGAATTGGTAAAACTGCTACTATGAAAAATTTATGCTATCGTGCTGACTGTTATCCATTAGTAGAAATAAAAGGTTCTAATTTAACCCCAACTGAAGCCGACCAAAAAGCTGAAATATTGCCTTTACAGAAATTTGCTTATACCATTAGCGAACTAGAATGAAGTTTAGTAAAAGATTATGGGTTTGAGCGAGAGGATAATGGCGAAGTGCGTTATATTCTCTTTGTTGATGAAGCCAATCAGATTAGTAATAATTCACTTATTTTTCAACCAAATCAACTGAAATTTCTTAAAGATTGTTTAGAAAGAGTCAATCAGAATGAAAGAAGCAATAATCTTTGGGTATTTGCTACTAACCATTTAGATCAGATTGAAGAAGCAGTCTATCGCGAAGGAAGGTTAAGCAATCCTTTAGATTTTAGTTGAAATTGAGAAATATTTTTAAAGCATGCTAAACGAGAAGATATTTTTAACCAACTACCTCAGCGTTGGCGAGATATTAGTGTTTCAAGTCCCGAGGATAACGAGCAAATAGCCAAGTTTAATATCAAAACATTTCAAAAAGACTTTTTGGGCAATGACAAGCAAAAGCCGAAAAAGAAAAAATTTTGAGACTTGTTTATCAAGAATAATCCTAACGTCCAAATAGAAACCGAAGAAGATGAGAGAGATGAAAGCGGAAAAAAAACAGGAAATAAAGTTAAAGAAGATATTGAGATTGGTGAATTTTTAGAATTCTTTTGGTATGTTAAGAAAAAATATCTATCAAGTTATGACGGAAGCTTTGAAAACATTAGCAAATTAACTACCGAAACAGTCTTAGATACTCGTTTAGTTGAGTTAATTGAAGTTTTGGATGAAAAATTGCGCAAGTTAGTTGAGGAAGTTAATAAAAGCCGACTTGAAGGAAAAGAACAAATTATGGGCGGCATTGACCGGATAATAAAAAGTTTAGCCAACAGATAAAAATTATGACAGAACAAAATATAAATTTAGAAAACACAATCAAAGAAATACAAACTATTACTAACCTAATATTAAAGGAAATCAAAAATCAAACCAACAATAATAACGAAAATATGAATAACCAAATAAATAAAAATAACGCCCTTAATGGGGATATAAATACTAAATAACTATGGGATTCTGAAAAGGACTTTGTGCTTGTATAGGATGTGCAGTAGGAATAGGATTATGTGTAGCAAGTGCGGGAATGGCTACTCCTTTTGTGGCTGCTAGTGCTACTCCTTGACTAATTGGGGGAGGAGCAGTAGGTGGTTTCTTTTTAGGAGATAAAATAGACCAAGAAAATGAAGAAGCTGAAAAGCGATTAATGGAAGATAAACGCTACAAAGATATCTCCGATGCTACTAAAAAACAATTTCAAGACAATCAAAATAATCAAAACTTATTACTGAACCTTGCTGGTAAACTTAATGGAACAGTTCCTCGTGAATCTCATGAGACTGATGAATATTTAAAACAGCAAATCGCTATCGTTCAAAGTAGTTTAAAAGCTGGTGAAGAAAGATATAATCAATTACTTGCTGATTTAGACAAAGTTAGAAAAGAAATCTTAGGAGGATTTAATTTTATGAAACTCCTCGGTTTTGATAAAATGAAAACCATGGATAAGGTAATGTTAATTGGTGGAATAGTATTAATTCTTTATCTTTTAAAAGGTTAGATAGTTTTTTAAAATTTATTAATGAGCGACAATTGAATCAAAACTACTTCAGACAAAGTAGAAAATTGTTGAGAATGTTCAAAAAAAATCTGAATTGGTGATGAATATTACTCTTGTTGAAAAAAAAGACCTTGATGTGTTAGATGCCGTGAATTAAGTGTTAGACAAGAAACTTCAGAATGTTTTGCGGAGTTAAGGCAAATTTGAGATGATTTAGAACCCAAAGTTGAAAATGAAAATTTAAATGTTGCTGACTGTCAAAAAATTTTTAAACTAAAAAAGCAAATTAGTAAAGTATTAAAAACACCTAATATTAAGGATTTTGGACTTGCTTATCCTACGGTAGAGATGGATTTTGAGTTATTAAAAAAAGTCTTAACCGACTTAGATAATTTCTTAAAAGAAAATGCTTCACCGCAGACGCAGGATAAAGCAAGTGGTGATAAAAGTAGGAGAAATAAAGCAAATAGAGAGTGTTATCATGAAAAGGTAGAACCTTATGAGGATGATCCAACTTTCTATTGTTGTTCTTATTATTGGAATGATAGTGATGAAAGATTTTTAAATACTCTAAAATGATTTCACCAAAAAAATCTTCATGATTGAATAAATAAACATAATCTTAATTCAACTTTTAAGATAACTAGTAAATTATCAGAAAATTTCACGACTCAAGAACAATTAAAGCAAACTTATCAAGAAGTAGTCCGAGAACTTAATCAATTAGCTAGAAGTAAAGGTATTGATGATCCAATAGATTTACCTAGCAAAAACACTAACCCTTCAACTAATCCTCAAGAATCTTTTCCTTGAAAATCCTGAGTTATCGGAGGATTATTAATAGTAGGATTAGTAGGAATAATCTATTTAGTAAGCAAAAGGAATAAGAAGTAATTATTTAAGATATTTCTGCTCTTTGGCTTTTTCTTTCTTGATTATTTCAATTAACTCATCTCTTCTCTCAAAAATATCTTTTCCTTCTCTTTTATTGATGTCTTCTTCTCAATTAATTGGTAATACTTTATCAATAGTCTTTCTGTTTATTTTGTTGTCTCCATTTTCCCTAGCAAGATTTTCTCAGTAAATTTTTATATCCCAAATAGAATCTTCTCTTTTAGTTTCATCAGTAACTAAATGATAATCTCTATTAATGCCACAAAACACATATCCATTAAGATTTTCTTGGCTATTAATATCATGGAAGCTCAATTGACCTCTTAAATTCCTTACTTCTTCTTTTGGTATTTCTATTTCTCTCTTGATTTTTTGCTTGTACTCTATTATTTCCGGTTTTTTAACTCAATCAAAACGAGAAATACTTCCATCAACGAGTCTATGTCAAAGAACATCTCTGTGCCAAATCAGAATTTCTTCAAGTTGCTCTTCTTTGTTCATTAACTCTTTCCTATTTTTCTCAGTTTCTTCCAGTATTTTCTCATTTGAAGAGTAAAGACGATTCCAGCCATTTATTTCTTTTTCTAATTCTTTTACTTTTGTTTCTAAATCTTTCTTATCATTGCTAAGTTTAATTATTTCTTTAATATCATCTCTTTTTGATTTTTCTATTCTTCTATCAATTAGTTGTTTATTTTTCTCATCGTTTTTCTTTTTTCAGAAAAAGTGAGATATTCAAGATGTTGCTAAATAAGCAATAATAGTAGAGATTGTTGGAATAAATATTTGTTCCATATCCATATGTTTATATTTTAAAATTACTCGTTTAAACTCTATTATTAATAATCCTCACAGTTCCGAAGAAGAGAAATGCTAAAAAGCGTATTGTTCTTTTAGAAGATGATAATAAAAAACTAAAAAAGGATTTAGCCAAAATAGCGGAAGAGATTAAAGAAAAGAGTAAAGTTCCTCCTGCTCCTTCTAAACCTTGAAATTTTCCTAAATTAGGTTTAATAGATAAAGCATTATTGGCGGGTGGAACTGTATTGCTTATTTATTTACTTATTCCAGAAAACAAGAAAAAATAGCTATAAAAATAGTGTTTTTTTTTTTTTTTTTTTTTTGCTAAAAATAGGTTATAATTAGTTATGGCTTGTCCACACCAAAACATTTTTTGAGAGGATTTATTTAAGCTTGAAAAGCAAGGCAACTGAAATTATAAACATAAAAATGCTTACTGTGTAGATTGCGGTGAAGAAAAAGGCAGACCTTTTGCAAATGCATGCCGACGGTGATTTTGTCAAAAAGTTAGAGAATGGTTAACATCAACAAAGGAAGAATTAATTGAAAAAGACTTTGGAAACAGAGACCCTTACTTAGATTTTCCTTATGGTGGTTTCGATGAATTTGTAAAGAAAAATAACTTTGAAAAGCAATGAAAAGAATTACAAATAGGTAGTGGTGATTGGCGTAATGAAAATTTTGAAGACAGTTTTGGTCAAGGATATTTTTTTGAAATTGCCAGAAGTATCGAAAATCTCTGTCAAGAATTCAAAAAAGAAAAAGAGCAAGAAATAAACAACAAAGATCCCATAAGAGAAAAACAAAGAGCGAGAGAACAAAAAATCAAACGTTTAAAAAAACGTATTACTAAATTAGAAAACAAATCTAATCGCACTCCAGAAGAAGAGCAAGAATTAAAAGATAAAAAAGCAGAATTAGCCCAATTAGAAAGAGAACATAATAATCAATCACCTAATAATTGAATTAAACCTGTTTTAATTGGTGGAGGAATTTTGTTAGTAGTAGGTTTAGTTATTTATTTAGTAATTAGTAATCAAAAAAAGAAATCTACTAATTAAAAATTTAGATTACTGACTTTCAATTTCAAGTTAACCAATTGGATGGCTGTTACATTAAAAAAGCATTTAACAATCCTTCTCTTTCATAATACAAATTAATTCCTTATCTTTTAATCTTTTCTTTTTTAAGTTAGGATGAAAAGTATGCTCAAAGTCAAAAATTAAAGGACTAAATAAATAATTTCTTTCAGGATGATTTTGAGAATTATTAATTTGCTGAATTATTCCAATCATTCTTCCTTCTTCCTCGTCTAAGGACATTTGACAAAGAAGAAAGTTATTAAAATAATTCTTTAATTGCCGAGAAGAGTAATGAAGTTTTAAAACTTTTTCTAATATTAATTTTTCTTTTTCTGAGAGTAAGTGAAAGTGTGGATCTTCTTCTTTTGCCGTCTTTAAAGTTCGCGGGAAATTTTGGGCTAAACTTTTCATCAATGAAGGAAAGAAGTATCTTAATTTACTTTCCCTTAACCGATTACTAATTAAACCATCATGAGGCAAACATTTAGGGAGTAATTTGTCAAAAGCAAATAACATAAATTAAACTAAAGTGGAAGATTGCTTTTCGTAATTATTTTGAGCTTGATACTGAATTTCGCAATCAAAAGATTTAGCGTATTTCTTAGTTAACTTTTCAAGATAAGATAAAACTAACTGGTTATTAAGGTTTGGGACAGATAAAAAAAACTTTTCAAGGCGATTACCATGATTTCTTATTAAATCTTTCAAAGAGTATAAAATTGGAGAAGCTAAACCATTCTGAAATTCTTCTTTAAACAAAAGAATGTTTTCCTTTTTTAATAATTCATTATAAGCCAAGTAAGTAATAGGTTGTAAAAAAGTTTGTTCTACTCCTCTTTCTCCTAACTTTTCATAAAAAAACTTAGCCACTGATAAAGGATTCAAATTTAATTGCTTAATACTCTTTCTCATAATATTTAATTTTATAAATAAGAATTAAGAATAAGGGTTTAAAATAGAGTAAGGGGGGTTAGTCGAATTTCCCCCCTAATAAAAAATTCATGAAAAATTTTATTATGAAAAAATTCGACAATAGCCCACAAGGCAACAATACACCAAAATTAAATGATTTTAAAGATTGATTAGCAAGAAGAAATCTGACTATCGAAACTATTCAAATAAAACTGAGGCATGTTAGACAATATGGAAATCAAGAATTAAACACTGATAATATCGTCAGTTTCCTCAAAGAAAACTCAATTAAATATAGTCCTTACCATTTAGAAAATTTAAGAAGCAGTTTATCCTCTTACGCTCGATTTTTAAAAATAGAAAGTGAAATTGAATGAGATTTAATAACGCGAATAATTCCTAAAGTTCAGCCAAAACCTTTTTCAATCATTAATCGCGAGGATCTAGAAAAGTTGAAAAGTGTCTACAATCTAAAAAACGAAAAAAATAATGGGCGAGACAGTCTAATTTTGGATTTCTTTTTTAACACCGGATTAAGAGTCAGTGAGTTAGCAAGCATCCGACATTGTGATTATCAAAATAATAGTTTAAAAGTTCATGGTAAAGGCAATAAGATTAGGTTCATTCCGGTTCCTGATTTTTTAGTTCAATATTTCAATGGTAGTGTTGATTATTTGTTTCAGACTAGCAAGAGAAAAAAACTGCATGTTTCACAAATAAGGAGAATGATTTATCAACGAAGTAAAAAAGCAAACTTAAATAAACACATCAGTCCGCATACTTTTAGAAGATCATTTGCTACTTTATCGAATGATAGTGGAGTAAAGTTAACTACCATTCAAAAAGTATTAGGTCATAGTGATATCAATACTACCTCTGCTTACATTCATAATAGTTATCAAGAAATATTCCAAGATTGTAAAAAATTATGAGAAACTAATCTAACTTTTTAAAATTAAATATATAATCGGTTGGAATTGCTAATCACTAAAAGTCTTCAAGTCAAGGTTTTTAGCAATTCTATCACCTTAAAATTTCAAGATAAAGTTTTTAATGATTAAGATGGTTGAAATCTCGCCTTTCCGACCATTATCAATTAATTACTTCTCTCGGAGTTTTGGAACTCTGTATATTACAAAATAGCCTAACACAACAGGTAGAGTAGTGATATAAATGAAGTAATACTTGATAATAGTTGGAAATAATCCTTATTTTTTTATTTCTTATTCTCTTTTTTAATTTTTATTTTATTTTTGGAGGAACTGGTCGGACTTGCACCGACGAATAGCAGTTTTGCAGACTGCGGCCTTAGCTACTTGGCGACAGTTCCTTTTTAATATATTTTTTGATTTTCTTCAAAATTTCACTCTCTTACTGTTCTAAATATTCAAGGAAACGATAATAGTACTTTTTTTAAATTGATTTGATTATTCTACTAACCTCGCTTTACTTTTTTTATGCTTATAATAGATCATGATAAAGGCAGAAATGAAAAGACATGAAAGTAAAACTAAACTCGTAATCAAAAGTGCGTAGTTTTTAGGATCTGTTTGATTTTCTTTGATCCCTTTGTGTTGGTTAATCAGTTTTATAAAGTTATCCTTTTTATTATTAATAGTTGATCCGCTAGCGTTATTGATCTGTGATTTTCAATTGGAGCCAATAGACTGATTTGTCTAATTTCTTGTATGGCTTTAAAACGATTAGTTAACTATCTTATCAGTAACTCATTTAATTAATTTTTTTTTTTCGACTAAAAGCTCTTTTTTTTCTAAACAAACTTTTACCAAAATTTTTTCAGTTTCTAACTCTTTCTCTCCTAAAATTATTAGCAATCGTGGTTGGTAATAACTGATAATTTTAGAAAGGTTTTTTAATTTTCTAGTTTCGAGGTTGTAATCTACTGATAAAGAATACTTTTTTAGTTTTTCCTTTCAATCTAAAACGTCCGGATAAAATTCTGGAACAGACAAGAAGAAAAAAACGTCAATTTTGTTAAAATTTTCCAATAACTTCGAACTCAATCCAGAGGTCTCTAAATAATTAATTAAACGATCAATTCCGATGGCAAAACCAAGAGCAGGAACATCAATGTCTCCTATTTCTTGGTAAAGTTTATCATAGCGTCCTCCTCCCAGCAATGCCTTATTTTCTCCTAGACTAGCTTCAAAAACTAGCCCAGTATAATAATCTAATCCTCGTACTAGACTATAATCATAAGTGTAAGGAAAATTAAACTTTTTCAAAAGTTGATCTAATTTATTAACGTACTCTCTGTCCCTTTCACTTCAGGCTTCTTTATAAGAAGGAAAAGTAGCCTTCTTTTTACAAATCGAACAGTCAAGTATCCGCAAAGGGTTATTTTGATATCTCGCTTGACAATTTTTGCACAGATCTATATCCTTAGCCTCAATAAAACTTTTTAGTTCACTTTTATAGTTTTCCTTGGTTTCATTATCTCCTAGATAATTTAAACTAAAAGTAAACTCTGTAATTCCTAATTCATAAAAAATATCAACAACTAATTTCAGTAATTGATAATCAGCAACTACTCCTTTAGCATTAATTAACTCAACTCCTAATTGTCAAAACTCCCGATAACGGCCCTTTTGAGGCCGTTCATAACGAAAAAAATTTGCCCAGTAGTAAAATTTTAAAGAATAACCTTCCTGAATCAATTTATTCTCACAAACCATCCGCACTACGCTAGCAGTACCTTCTGGCCTCAAGGCTAATAACCTACCTTTTCGATCGGAAAAAGTAAACATTTCTTTATGAATAATATCAGTAGTAGATCCTAAAGAATTAGTAAACAATTCAGCATTCTCAAAAGTAGGAAAAATTACTAATTGATAATTGTTTTTCTGCAATAATTTACTAATTATTTGTTGAATTTTTTGGTAAAGAAGAGAAGAGGAGGGATAAATATCTTGAGTACCTCGAGGCCTATTTAACTTACTCATTTAATAGATTTTACTTAAGAAAAACTTAATTAAATCTAATAAAGAAATTTGTAGAGAAGTTAAAGAGTTAATTAAGTAATTATTAGCAACAATAAAGAGAAAAATAAAAAATACTAATTTAATTTATTCAGAGGGGAGTAAAACACTCCCCTCGAATTGTACCACTTTATCAAGATTTAAATGCGGTTCATCATTTAGCACTGTAAACAATACTTAAATTAAAAAGATCGTTTTTCCTAAACTTACATTTGCAACTTCTTGACTAATCTTCCCGCTGTAAAACTTGTGCCATGAGAATCTCATCTTGTTCAAGAAATCGACTTCCCTCTTCCTTATCAATTCTAAAATCAATGCCGCACTGCTCACAAAATCTATAACCATTATTAACTTTTAAGCACCTATGACATCTCCACACACCAATCTCTTCTTCTAGAACTAAAGCTCGACGACCACTTATTGGTGCTGGATAAGTTATTGATATAGTTGGCTTAAGTTCTCCTCTTTTATTTTCTACCATTCCAACTTTTACTTCTGTACCATTAACTGTTCTATATAGACCAACTAATTCATCAAAAGTATCCTTTTCGCTAGTCGAATACTCATTCTTATCTTCTTTATAATTTTTTAGTTCTTTTCGACGTTTGTCGACAAAAGCATTCAAGACTTTTATAACCTCTTTAACCGCCTCTTCATCAATAACCTTCTCAGTTTCGCCCTTTTTTCCTCCCTGTTTAGGAACTACTCTCCCTCAAATATCTTCGATTAACGAATTATCAAAACTTATCTTTATTTTTTTCGTAATGTTGAGTTGATTCTTAAGAAAAGTCTCAACAATTACCAGTAATATTTCTTTGCCTCTCTCTTTATCGAGTTTTGGCAGAGTTGGCTTCCCCATGTGTATATTTCATAACTCTTCATCCACTACTGGAGGAGTAGGCTTAACTCCAAAAACAGGGTAAAAAGGTTTTATTCCTCCAGTCCCCACTAAGATTTCTTCAGGTTTGAGACCAAATTTATAACCCAAACCCAAGGCAGCTCGTAAAAAATTAGGGTCACTACTCATGTTGGCTCCTTGTGTTCCTAAATAGTCTAAATCAGCTTTAGCTCCCGACAAAGCAGCGGTCACAAACTTATAAGCAAGGTCTTTGGCTGGCTTTAAAACCTTCACTTTTCCTGTTTCAGCATCAACATCATACAAATCTTTAGTTAGCAAATAAGCCGAGCCTGGAAATAGCCGAGCTACTCTTCCAATCTGCTGAACCATGGAAGCTAAAAACAAAGAAATCGTTTCCGGTGTGTCGTAAATTCAAGGAGTGCCTTTTTTACCCAGCGAAATTAATTGTGATCGTCCAGTACAAATAACATTATGAATATGAGGGGAGAATCCCATCTCATGATTAGGATTAGCAAAGAATATTGAGCCATTTGGCATACCTTGGGTAATTCCAGTTACTGCTCCTTGGTTAGTTCTATCGAAACTAACATAGGCAATATCATTATCATCCAGTAACTTTTTTTGTTTAGCGGTTAAACCATTGTATAATAATTGGACCTTTTTATCTTTCTTACCAGTAGCAGGGTCAAGTACAGTAACAATGTTACCAGTTTTAGGATCAACTTCAAATTCATCCTCGGTAGTGCGCAAAAATATTTGGGTTTTTGTTTTCATTCACTTTTCAACCTCAATTGTCTTACCCTCCGAATCTTTCATAGTTAAAATACTTCCATCCTTATCTTTTAAATATTCTGGTTCGAACTGGGGAACTAGTAAAACTTCTCGAGGATGGGACATAGTAATTGAGAATTTCTTTTTCGGGAAAGTAGCACTCATGATTATCACTTTGTAATCTTCCTTAACTAACCTTTTCTGCAATTCTTGATATTTGGCATCATTAAAGTGAGCCTCGTCAAAAACAATAATTGTCTCGTCTTTAGCAATAACTTTCTTTTTCATTTCAGCTACGTTAGCATCTCAATCAGGATTTAATGGATTACCATCCTTAACGTACTTAGTGCTGGAATTTGGTTCTTTTAGATTATCAGGTATAACTGTCGAACGAGCGATATAACCTAATAATTTTTCAGCCTGAAGAATAGAGAGACCATATTCTCCTTTTTTTTGAGTATTTTTTCAAGTTTTAGTTTTTTCATTATACTTGGCTTCTGATCTATCCTCATAATAAATTAAATCATCTTTAACTACCTCATAGCCCCCATGATATACGCCGTGAACTACACACTTGTAAGGATTGCCGTCTTTGTCTCTTTGCAATCAACTTTTGTGATGGACTTCAGCATCTGCAGCCAAGGCTTCATTCGGACAAATCAAAACAACATTACTTCCCTTTTTAACTAGGTCAGTTTCATTTTTAGTTTTTTCTCCTCCCCTAACTAAGCAACCCATAGTTTTGGTAGTTTTTCCTCCACCAGTAAGGATAGGAAGAACGCCACTTCCACTTTTATCAATTTCTCCGTTTTTGTCTAGGGTAGCATAAGTCGCTTGGTCAGGATCAAAATTAATTAAAGAATAAACAAAAGGGAGTAAATAGGTACCAGTTAAATCTAGCCTTTCAACTTTACTCCATTTTTCTTCTTTTTCGATAACTGTCTTGCCGTCGATTTCCGTTTTTATCCTCTGACCAGTAAATTGTTCTTTACCATTGACTTCTTTTACTTCAGCAATTTTTATTTCGCGGCTTGGTTCTTTGTCAATCGTATATCCATTTAGTCCTCTCAATCACCCATCCAGATCTTCTTTTTGAGCACTCTTGTCAAGAAAATCTTCCAGTAACTCGTTTAGAATAGAAGCAGTTAAGGGCTTATACTCTTTGGATTTTCATCGATTTTCCTCTTTTAGTTTCTCTTGAGCATCAGCCAATTCTTGCTGAGTTAAACCATCTCCTTTGACCTCATTATCTTCAACGTCCAACTTGTACTTAAACGTATTTCGGTGATCTTGCAAAATTTTAAGAATTTGCTCTTTAGATTTGCTTGCAGGTAATTTATTATCATCCAACGCATTTATTTGAGCATCAGCAGTTTTCTTTCACACATCAAAATCAAAGAATGTAGTTTTTGTTCTCCCTTCTGAAATGATTTTATTTGCTTGGTCAAGTATCGATTTAACATTCTTCAAAACATCAACTTCATCCCCTTGATAATTTTGTTTTCCGCTATTAATTTGAGTTGGATCAGTTCAACCATTATCATAAGCAGTTCGGGATTGAGTTGGATCTAAGCCAACATTACCTTTCATTCAAGGTTCAATTTGAGTGTTGGTCGGATTATTTCCTTCAAAAGCAATTTTAAATAATGATTTAAGTTTATTGTCTCTTTCTCCTTTAAGTGCTCCATAATTTATACTGCTTGGCACTTTGTTTTCATTATAAGTTGTTGTAACATCACTATCACTTGGCAGTTTAGTTAAATCAGTTTCATTTTTTATTCTATTTAACAAATTATGGGCCTTATCTACTTCGTTTTTCAAGTGTGTTTTTTGGTCAATATTGTTAGTTGTTTGCCCATTTGAAGTATATCCAGTAGCAATATTTCTCCAACCGTTATTGTAAATAGTCTCGGCATCCTGTAAGTTGGCTATTTTTACTCAACTAGGTTTGTCCTGTTCTATAATATCCGAGCGGGCCGCAAAAAAAGTGGTTCAACCTTTATCTACTTCATCAGAACCAGTAGTCCAGGCAGGCTTTCCAGCCGGCTTAGATGGATCAACTGTCCCATTAGGCTTAGCAGTTTGTTGATCGGATGTAGAAGCAACTCCCTTATATTTTACTTTACCATTTACTATCTCGAAATTTTTCTCATCAAAGATTTCTTTTAATTTTTCAATAGTCAAACTTTTTTCTAGTTCTTCTTTTAATCCAGCATTTTCTTTTTTTAAATCATTAATTTTCTGTTCCAATTCTTTCGCGACCTGACTTAGTGGTTTTCCATCCACCTCTATAAGATCTGCTCCAGTTCCTTTTAAAATTTTTAAAAGTTCTTCTATTCTTCTTTCTGTGTCTGTTTTTGGCATATTATTTCTTGTAATTTATTGTTATTTTCTTTCCAACCACCAAACAAAGCAATTAAGCAAAGATGAACTTAAAACAATAAAGAAAGCAAAATTAGCCGATATCCTTACAATCAAAGAAGAAGATTGAAAAATTGAGAAAGAAAACTCAGCAGAAATATTGATAAATAACTCAGGAGTCAAATGCTGAAAATGAGGCTTTTCACAAAACGAATGAAAACAAATTGAAACCTTTTTAAAAAATTCACCGAGCAAAAAGAACCACGAAACAGAAAAAAAATGATATAACCCTGCTGATTATCCTTTATCCTGAACCATAGCGGTTGCTTGTTCCGCCTTTCTTATAATTGTTACTATGACTTTCTGGAAAAGAACTAAAAGGAAATTTTAAAGGTATTTACTAAACAACTCCTTAACTGTATCGGTAGGTTGTGCTCCGCATTTTAATCACTTATTAATATTTTCTTTATCTAATTTTATCGCCTTACTCTGCGGATTATAAAATCCTAAATATTCTAGATAGGCTCCACTATCTCTTTTTCTCCTACTGTCAGTCGCAATTATTCAGAAAGAGCGTTGACTCTTATATCGTTGACCTCGTCCTCTTAGACTTAAACGGATTTTGACCATCTCTAAATGTATAATTTTATTTTATTATAATATAAAAAACCCTATATATTACACTACTCAAATTAAATGTTAATTTTTAAAAAAATTGCTTTCTGATAATAATTAAGTTTTATTATTTCTTACCTCCTTGAGCAATTCTTTCATTAAGCAAAGTTAAGAATTTTGAACAATTATCACAAAGTTTTTTACGAAGGTTCAAACCAGACAGAGTAGTTAAAACAACTGCAGAGAAAATGTCTCCTTTTTCTTTTTCAGGAAACAAACTTGAACCCACATTTAAAACTTCTCTGAATAATTGTCGTAATTCGCAACAACTAATTGATTCGCTTTTTTTAATATCTTCTTCTTCAATCACCTCAATTTTTTTGCCTTGTTTAACTTCTTCAATCATTTTGTTAAACAATTCAACATTTGTTTTTACTTTATGTTTGGCATACTCCTCCTTTAACTCCTCCTTGCTTATCCCCGCTTTCATTTTATTAGCAATTTCAGAACAGAAATTACAAAATAAAACAACTAATTGCTGTTGAGTATTAAACTCTGTTTTAAAGTCTCTTTCCTTCAAAAAATTTCCGCAAACAGCACACTTATAAGGTATTAATATTTTTCTTTCCATAAGTAAGGTTATTTAACCACAAAATATTTTTTTAAATAATTGTCTTTATCAGATTCAGTTGCCTTTTTATCCATCATATTTAAACTATCTGCTCTGAACTCTTGGCAAGTTTGACAAATGCTTTTATACTTAGTTCATTTTATTCACTCAGAAACACCATCCACAACTGAAATTCCCTGAGCAGATATCTTATTTAACATTTCTTCTCTTTTTTGACAACAAACTGCTTTGTTTTCGTTTACCATTATTAACTATTTTTTTTGTTTCAATCTTTGGGTAGCCAAAGCAATGTCTGAAATATTTAGTTAAATCTTGTTTATTCAAAACACTTAATGCTTTGTCAATATAATTTTTTAGTTCTCCTAAGTTCCTCGTTCTGTTTTTTTCGATGTTCTGCCTTAGAAAGTTAAAACACAATTCAGTTGGATTTAATTGCGGAGAATAAGAAACAATGTTTCTGATTTCGATGTTCCTTCTTGCCAACTGTTCTTTTACATATGGTAAATCTTCTTTTTCTCTCTTACGAGGAGCACGATGTATTACAGCATTATCTAACAAAAGAAAATGTTTTTTGTTTGAAGTCAATTTTATACTCTCCAAGAAGTCATAAAAAACCTTTCAATCTGCTCCATCTTTGATTAATTGATAATTTTACTTTTATCATATTAATATTTTAAAGGTATGTAAAGGTATGAATTACAGAAGAACAGCCGAAAATTCTTGCTTTTGCTGTTTTTTGAAAATCTCTCTTAGACTTAATTGTAATATGTCATTTCATGTTTGTTAAATCAAACATGTAACGACTATAATATTCCAAAGATTTTATGATTGATTTTTGCGAGTAGGCTTACTGAGGTTATAAAATAGTATATATAGGTATGAAAATCAAACAACAAAATAGTTTAAATTCTCCTCTTCATAATCCAAAACAAGTTTCTTGTTGTGAGTGTGGTAACTTGTTTTCTCTTAAGTTTGTTATTCCTAAGTGGGATTGGAGTGTTAAAAATAATCTAGACTATTGAAGCGAAAAAGAAAAAGATAAAGGCAAATATGAATGTAATGCCTGCTTGTTAGATTTATATTACAATCGCAAGCATGATTATTGAAATTTAGTAACTAATCCTCAAAAGAGACAAAAGATGCGAACTTATGTCTATGATGGAACAATTTCTAGAGAATAATAAATCCCTTATATAATATGAATAAATGCAATAAGTGTAATATAACTAATGTAAATTTAGCTACTGATATTGATGGTAATCTCTATTGCTATGACTGTCTAAGAGAGAGAGAGAGAGAGAGAGAGACGAAAACCTCGTAAAGGAAGATGCGACCAATGCTTAACAGCTAATGTTTTAATTACTGAGGCTGATGAGGCTGATTTTCAGGGCAATATTTGTTATAAATGTTTAGTAGCTCATTTTCGTTTAGGGTTACAAGAACTTATTAAAGAACATGGTTTAAAATCAATCCAAATTCAATGAGAAGGTTCTTTTAAGAGAAGATTTGAGGAAGCGATAAGGAATATTGAAGGAGCTACTGGAGTAATAGGGTTAACACAGGAAGAAAAAGAACTTGCTAAGCAATTGTTGCAAGAATGTATTCAAACTATCGAAAGTGATTTATATCCTGAACGGAGCAAGAATAAAGGTGGTTCAGTTTGGATATGACTTTTAGTAATTGGAGTGATTGTTATAGGGGGATTAATAGCTGGTTTGGTTTGATGGAATAATAAGAAAAAGAAGAATAATTTTCAGAACTATACTTAATGCTTGAAAAGAGGAAATTTAAAAGAAAGCACCTTGGTGAAAGCAGTAAATAGTGGTGAAATGATAACAAATTAGAGCCTCAAAAATTAACATTTAATTTGAGTAGTGTAGTACTAACCCTTAAATTTTATAAAATATAATCTTAAAACTTATTTTCTGATTATGAATAATGAGGATAATGGACAAGCATTCTTTTGTTTTAAAAAAAAAATAAAATTAAAGAAAAAAAAGAAAATCTCTTACGAAGAGGGGGGAACAAAAAACGAGAAAAAGATAATCATGCCGCTAAAAGAGAAGAAAAAAATTACCCAAACCAACTCACAAATCGAATTTGCTGAAAAACAAACCTAGCAAGAAAAAGAAAATAGGCAAACCCAAAATTAGTAAGAAATAAACTTCCCCTACTTTGCACAAATTAACTAAAAAAAACCCTTACATGGAAGAACAGAAAGATAATAATAAAATTCACGAAACTTTTTGAATCGAATTAAAAGAAACTATTTCAGGCCATCAAATACTTAGTGCGATGATTAAAGGCCAACATTGAAAAGGTTTTTTAGAAAGCAAAGAAATGAAAAATGTTAAAGGAGAAACTTGAACCAAAAAAGAAGCCTTAATGAAGCCCTGCACCTGAGAAGCCTGTAAAGTTTGCCATCCTCAAATACTGTAAAAATCAAGAAGACATACTAATGGTTTAGCGAGGTGGTTGCTGGAATTGAGCCTGATAACTTTCGCGGTAGCAATGTTGGTAACGATGAATATAAATGTTAGAATTATTAATTATAGTACTATTAGAAGAGTAAATCCTATCTAAACTTTGACATCGCTTAATAACTAAATTAGAACAAGAACTATCAATAAGAAAAAAGTGTTCAAGGTTAGAACATCGTTTGATTTTAGCACTAGAAAAAGAAATTCCAACAAAAGCCGACGCTACTAAATTTCCACAATCTTTAATTTCAATCTTGCTAAAAGAAGTACCTCTAATAAGGACTTTTTCCAATTGGGGCAAATTGCGAAGTTTAATAACCGAAAAAGAACTATTCACAATCAGCAAACTTTTTAACCCAACACAATTAGATAAGTTTAGCAAGGAATCACTTCGGTCATTAACAATTAAATGACCTTGGCTATTTACATTAGATAAATATTGTCGTCGATACATACTTCTATAATCATTTTTTTACACAACAATAAAGAGAAAAAACAAATAAATAGATAAAAGTTAACTCGTTAAGCACCATTATTTTCTCGACTAATAACAATAAAAAACTAATTAACTAATATGGGTTACCTGCACCAAGAAATCGAAAAAAAATGACAAACATACTGAAATAAAAACCAGACTTTTTTTGCTGACTTAATTGATAATTCTAAACCTAAAAAGTATATTTTAGCCATGTTTCCTTACCCGTCAGGCAGCGGTTTACATGTGGGACACATTCGCAATTATACTATCACTGATGCACTAGCTCGTTTTTATCGTTTGAGAGGATATAATGTGCTAATGCCAATTGGTTGAGACGCCTTTGGTTTACCGGCCGAGCAATATGCCATTCAAACTAATAATCACCCTGCTACTTTTACTACTGCCAATATCCAAAAATTTAGGCAACAATTATTAAAAATGGGTTTTTCTTATGATTGAAGTAAAGAAATTAATACTAGCGATCCGCAATATTACCACTGGACCCAATGGATTTTTCGCCAAATATACTTACAAGGCTTAGCCGAATATAAAGAAATACCAGTTTATTGGTGTGAGAAATTAGGAACAGTGCTGGCTAATGAAGAAATTAAAAATGTCGATGGCAAAAAAGTTTCTGAACGCGGAAATTTTCCAATCGTAGAAAAAAATATTTCTCAATGAGTTTTAAAAATTACTAATTATGCTAATGAACTCTTAATTGGATTAAAAGATTTAGACTGACCGAACAGTATTAAAAGTTTACAAAAAAATTGAATTGGGCTTAATCGAGGCACTTTTATCAATTTTCCTGTAGTAGGTAGAAATTTAACTATCACTGTCTTTACCAAAAGCCCCCAAACTCTTTATGGAGTAACTTCTTTAGCTTTATCAGTTAATTATTCCCTTATTAATCAAATTACTTCTCCTGATAGGAAAACTAAGATAGAGAATTTTTGTGCTACTTGAAAAGATAAAGAAAGCAAAGAAATATATGGAGAATTTACAGGAAGTTATTGTCAACACCCTTTGACTAATGAAAAACTGCCGGTTTGAGTAACTAACTTCGTCGTTAGTGAATACGGAACAGGAGCAGTAATGATTAACGCCTTTTCACCTGAAATATTTTCTTACCAAGAAATTCCTGATTTAGTTAATGAAAAAGAATTAAAACAAAATAAACAGATTGATTATGCTTTTGCGGTAAAATATAACCTGCCAATAAAAAAAATCTTTAAAATAAGCGAACGGTCAGGCAAACCGAATGGTTATTTTGTTAACTCGCCTTTAATTAATAATTTGGATAATAAAGAAAAAGCTATCAAAATTATAAATGAAAACTTAGAAAAAACCCAGAAAGGATATAAAGGAGAGTTCTATCATTTAAGAGACTGAGTTTTTTCCCGTCAGCGATATTGAGGAGAACCCCTTCCAATCATTCATTGAGAAAACAATCAAAAAGAACTTTTATCCGAAAAAGATTTACCTTTAATTCTCCCTTCTTTAACCGATTTTACTCCTAATCCTTGTTATTATTCTCCCTTACAAAAAGCGGAAAACTGAGTAAATATTGAAAGTAGAAGTGGCTTAAAAGGAAAAAGAGATGTTAATGTTATGCCCCAGTGAGCAGGTTCTTGTTGATATTATATTGGGTTTTTACTAAAAAAAAATGATACTTATTTAGCTCTTAATAGACTAGAAGCGAAAGAAATTATTAAAAATTGGTTGCCAGTAGATATTTATATTGGTGGGCAAGAACACGCTAATTTGCATTTACTATATGCTCGCTTTTGACATAAGTTTTTATACAAAATTGGGGTAGTCTCCCAACCTGAACCCTTTCAAAAGTTAATTTGCCAAGGTATGATTTTAGGGGCCGATGGTGAAAAAATGTCCAAATCACGAGGCAATATCATCAACCCCGACGAATTGATAGAAAAATACGGAGCGGATGCTTTACGACTTTATGAAATATTCATGGGTCCTGCCGAACAAACTACTAGTTTTGATCCTAACAGCGTTCGTGCCATGAAAAAATGACTAGACAGAGTTTATAATTTTTTTCTTCGCTATCGAGAAGCAAGTTTAACTAATTTAACCAGTAATAATATCACTAACAAAGAAATCGAAGAAGCATACAGAGAAATGGTTAACAAGACTACTGAATACTATCAAAGTATCAAACTGAATTTAGTCGTTTCTTCCCTGATGACTTTCATCAACAAATGCTACAAAACCGAAACAAAATGCATACCAATCAATTATTTTTTAGGTTTCTTAAACATTTTAAGTCCGCTTGCTCCTCATGTTAGTGAGGAAATGTGAAGTTACTTCGAAAAAAACTCTATTGCTTACAGCGGTTGACCAAAACCAGTAAACTTACTGAATTTTTCTTCGCAACAGATAAACATAGTTATTCAAGTCAATGGGCAAAAAAAATCTATAATTCACTTGAACAGCCAAAAAAGCCAAACTGAAATAGAAAACCTAGCCAAAAATGACCCTAAAATAAAAAAAACAATTGGTGAAAAAAAAATTAGTAAAGTAATTTTTGTAAAAAATAAATTAATTAATCTAGTAATCAATTAACTTTTTTTAAGTTAATAAGATAAGACTAAACTAACGATGAATAAAAAGTAATATATATATATATATATACAGAAGTTTTCTTTCTAACTCCTTGCTAGACAAGGGTTCAGAGACCTTGTCAAAACCTCATTTTTATCTATATAATATTTTTATAAACAGAACTTTTTTTAAGAGTTAGTTTTTTTTGCTTTTGGTCTATATGAAAAGTAGACATGAAAGAAAACCAAATCTTAAAAGGAAATACTGGAGTTCAGGTGGCTTACTCATCAACCGAAAAGCAACCAACCAAAATAACAGGATTGAAAGACCCGAACCTTATTAAGGTGAGTGGAACTTTAACTAGTAGAATAGAAGTTAAACCTAGTTCAGATATTCCTGCTTATGGATTTTTTAAGTTGGAAGATAAAGAAGTTGATATCCCCGTAGTGTTCAGAATAAAAGATCAACATAACAACTGAATTAAACCAACCATTAAAAAAGGTTCTAGTTGTGAATTAGAAGGATATTTTGTGGATAGTAAAGATAAAGTAAGACCCTCCTTTACTTGCTTATCTTACCAAATCTTATCTGAACCAAAGCCCTTAAATACCAAAGACTTAATTACTCTCACTAGTGGATTATTAACTACTACCTTAGAGAAATATAAAGAATGAACTAACCGGAAGGACTTTCTTTTTAAAAAACTGGATGAACTAAAAGAAATTGATACCCTTTCTAAACTAGGAGAAAGTTTTTTACAGGCTTATCTCACTTTGAAAAAGGCTCAATATGCTAATTACCAAGAAAAACATCTAAACTCTAATTTTAACCTGACCCATTATTTAGAAACTATCTCAACTGAAATTCAATTAGTTAAGTCTCATATTGAGGCTTATCAAAGTAAGCAGATTATTAAGTAATATGAGTAAACAACACGAATTAATTGGCAAAATATTGGCTAGGGAAAGAGGGAAAGTTTATAACAAAAAGTCTTCTCATTATGGCAACACTTACTTTCGGTTAGCAGTTGACTTAGAAAATAATCCTAAATGAAAAGAAATTTTAGTTTTCCCCGAAAGTAAAGTTTGATCAGACATTCAAGAGGCTAATTATCATGGTAAGAGGTATTTATTTTTCTGTTCTCCCAAGGTAAGTAATTATCAAATAGTAGCTTATCAGTTAATAGATTGAAAAGAATTACAAAATCATGGGTAGCATTAATAAAAACATGAACGGTATTGCTTTTACTAAAGGTTCTGAATACCTAAAAGATTTCCAATGCTCTAAATGCCACTTATTTTTAGATGATGAGGATATTCAAAAAGAAAACTATTCTTTCTGGCTTTCTGATTATGCTAATGACATTACCAAGATTTATAACCAAAGCCGACCAGTTTATGGTGCTAACTTCTGATTAAGAGGAATAGATCATTTAAATTGCCCTGAAATAAAAGACCATGACTTTTAAGCACGAAATAGGTCGGGGTAAAAAAAGAATTCCTCCTGGTCAATACTCAACTCCTTTAAAGATTGCTCAATGTTTAGCCAAATTAGCATCTCCAAAAATGGATTTTAAAGATAAGATTATTTTTGAACCTTGTGTCGGCACAGGTAATTTACTTATTCCTTTCATAGGAAAAGGAGCTATTTTAATTGGTAGTGATATTGATCAAGAAGCCTTAGAAATTTGTAGAGAAAGAATTCCCGAAGCAATTTTAACTAATTGCAATACTCTTTTTTGTTATGTTCCTGGACATAGTAAGAAGCTGAAGTATGGTCGATATTGTAGTGAGCATATTTTTAGTGAACCAAAGGAAACGGTGGAGAGATTAGAAAGAATTCTCCAACAAAGAAAAGAAATCAAAAACAAAGAATTTTAAAAATTATGTCAGAATATAATAACAATTGCTCTTATTGCTTCTGTTGTGACCTTTGTGACTTCAATGCTTGCCCAACTGGTGATTGCCCCAATGGTTTACAAGACACAGCTTGATGCCACGGAAATGATTACCAGTGATTTGAGGATAACAACATTGAAGTTTGCAATGACTGTCAAATCAAGATTGAAGCAATTTTAGCAAAAAAGAAAATCAAACCAAATAAGAAATTAGAATTGGTTGAGCAAGTTATCGAACAAGGATTAGAGAAATTTAGGAAATATTATGAATAGTCAAGAAATTAAACCATGTAAATGTGGAAAACCAGCTAACCAATTAGTGCTGATTAAAGGATCGGCTTATTATTTATGTGAAAAGCATGTGCAATCCTTAGAACAATTTTTAGGAGAAAAGATTGAACCACTGACGAATATCAAAAATAGCACTTTTTTAAGAGAACTGAAGAGAAGAATTAAACTCAAAGAAATCTGTTTTAATTATGATGGTCGGCAATTAGGAAAAGATATTGGAGGATTATGAGTTTGTGATGCTACTGATCCATACTGATTAGATTTTGGAGAATTAGAAGAATATTTAGAGAAAAAAGAAATTTTTTAACCTTATGAACCCAAACAAAAAATACTGCTACTCTTTATTTTGCTCTTTTGCTTATGAAAAAGAGGAAGAATTAACAGAACATGAAAAAAAAGAGCATTATGAACCAAAAACCTAAAAAAACCCAGTCAAAAACAGTAATTCATCATGATTGCCAATACCAACTTCCTAATTGTAAAAAAATAGCTATTGCTCAACGAGTTCTCAAATTAGGAACAGTTACGATTGATAAAGGTTGAATCTGTCAAAACTGCCAAGATAATATTGAAAAAGAAAGAAAACAGTCTCCCACAACTGTTTTTGAAAGATTAAGCAAAAAAAAGAAGAAATAATAATAATTTTAAGAATTAAAATAATATGAAAAACCTAACTAGTTACACCAATTATTTACAAGAAAAAAATTTATCTCCCAACACGATTAGGCTTTATTTAGCTACCTTAATTAAATTTCAACTCCAAGCTAAACGATTAACTACCGAAAGCATCAAAGAGTATTTTAAAACTAATCTCCTTAAATATCAAGCCACTTCTTTAAAAGTAGAAAGATATTGTCTTAATTCTTACCTTAAATTTAAGAAATTAAAAGTTGAATGAGAAAAGATTGTTCGACTAATTCCTTCAACTCAAAGAAAATTTTTTGATACGATTAATGAAACTGAACTGAATAAGTTAAAAGAAACCAAAGTAGAAAAGAACCCTTTAATTCATCAGAGAAATAACCTAATCTTGGATTTTCTTTTTTATTCGGGAGTAAGGATTAATGAGTTAGTGAACATTAAACACTCTGATTGACAAGGTAATCAATGCCGAATTCATGGCAAAGGGAATAAAGTGAGATTTATTTTGCTCCCTGATTTCTTAATCGTTCACTTTAATCTCAACTCTAATGATTATTTATTTACTAATCAGCAAGGGAGAAATATTAAGGCTGAATATATTCGGTGATTGCTAAAAACTCGAACCAAAAAAGCTCAGATTAAGAAAAGAATCACCCCTCATACTTTCAGAAGGTCATTTGCTACTTTACTTTATCAGAAAAAAGCTGGTTTAATGACTATTCAAAAGTTATTAGGTCATTCGAGTGTTCAAACTACTGAAGGTTATATTCAGAATGATTGAGACTACATTAATCAAGATTATTCAAAACTATGGAAAAATAATCCCAATTTAAGCAATTTTTAACCTAAAAATATGAAACTAAAAACATTAACCAATATTAGAATTATCCAAAAACAAGACAAAAATCTCAACACTTACTACATTATCTTTAACCAAGACAGCACTCAGGAAGCTTATTTTTGCTGAGAAAGAACAATTAAAGAAGGTTGAACAGATTTTCAAAAAAATTGAGACAAAATCCAAAGAATAGAATTTGAGTATGAAGAGTTAGAAAAGGGCAACAAAGTCATTAACATTTTGTCTCATGACCAAACCTTGGATATTTTTATTTAAAATTGGTCTTTTGCTGGTTAGACCTTAAAGAAACCTTAATTTGGGGGTGTTATTAGTCTAAATGCTTTTGTATTCGTAGCATTTTGGAAAACAAGGGTTAAATCCCTTCACCTCCACCAAAGAATTATTTTTTGCTTGGAGCCAGTTAGTATAAAGGCTGAAACTAAAAATTGCTAACTGGTTCCTAGGAGAAAGTAATTGAGTTAAACAGTTAACTTTCTCTGTTGGAAACCGAAATGGGAGACATCTCGGTAGTTGTCGGAGTAGGTTTCTTATGGGAGAAATATATTTTTTATCTCTTGTATATAGACCTATATATAAGATAAGTAAAAATTCCCTCATGCCCTCTATTTAACGAACTTCACCTCTTTTTCTTTCTTTTCTTTTATTTTAATTTTCTTTTAGTAAGATTCAATAGCGTTATTTCTGTTCTATGCTAATAGATAAAGAAATAATAATAAAGAAAGGGAGAAATCAAAGAGAAAAAAACAAGGCTAAATTTTTGCTAAACAATAATGCCCTTATATACCTATCTATATACTAGATAAAAGGAATTTAGAAGGGAGTTAAAACCCCTTATATGTCCAGTTCTTTTTGACAAGAATTAGAGAGTAAAAAAATTAGTAAAGAACAAGTAGGAGAATATTTAACCCAAAAACTAGGAAAACCAACTAACCAAATCCAAACTAATCTTTATCAAGAAATTATTAAGAAAATTAACTCTTATTACTTTGCTCAGGAAATAGAAAATTACACTATTCTTTCTTTAATTGGCATGCTTAACTCACCAGAGCAAGTAATTGAAAAGAGATTTAAAGAAGGTAAGTTTAAAGGTCAACCATACTATTTACTGAAACTCTCTGAACCTAAGGGAGAAAAATTACAAGCCCGAAAAGACCTTTTGCCACCTGAAAAATGAGAACAGATTGGTAATTTAGCTATTTTAGGTAAGAATTTAGTTTTTAAGTATCGGTTTTGGATCACTAATAAAGAACTTTTGGACTTCTTGCCCTACGAAAACACCCCCAAGACCCTAACGGGGTAAGAGGAAGAGAGGGACAGCAATTGGAGACACAGATTTCTAATCTGGTCTACCGTTCTTCACTCTCTTTTTCTCTTTTCCCCCGTTGGTCTTGTTCGGTCTTCTATATAAACATACTCACACCCGTGAAAAATTTTTTACACTAATATGACTAAAACTATTTACGAAAACTTTAAAGAGTTTACTACTTTTTACAACTTCCTTAAACCTCGTTTTGCTGCTGACTTTCGACCTAAGGATAAGATAGGGAACATTTTTATTAGTCGAGGAGTTTATGAATCTTATAAGCATGATACTTATTATGGGGAGGCTGATCAAGCCTTAAATAAAATTGCTAGTCAGATTGTTTTTGATTGTGCTGAAATAGCCAAAAAAGAAACTATTCATGCTAAGGTTTATGATAAGGTCGAGAAATTATTAAACTACACTACTCGAACGGAAACTAAAAACCAAAAAGAACAACAACAAAAAACTAATCTACCTAAAACTGTTACTACTCAAAATGAACCTTTAATATCTTTAAATGATTTAAGTCAAGGTGCTTTTGGAGGTCATAATCGAGCCGACTGATTAAAAACTACTCAAAAAACTCAAGGAGCCGATACCATTATCACTACTTTTAAAGAAGGAATGAAAGTAGTAGATAGTGAAGGGAAAATTAAAACTATTCCAAATTGAGTAGAAATCGAAACCCAAGATAATGCTGGCTTAGCAAGAATATTAACTTGTTTTCAATATATCGAAATAGATTTGAGTAAGTATTTAAAAAAATATCGAAAGTTCTTTTATCGTTCTTACGGACTAGGGGGAATTATTTATCTTGATCAAAAAACTAAAAAACATGTCTTTAAATCTCATGAAGAAATAGAAGAAGAGGAATTGCCTGAAACAGAAAAAAAGAAAAAGATTATTCCTACTACTGAACCAGAACTTTCTTATGCTGAATGAAAAAAAGAATTTAAAAAAGAGCATCCTGAACAAACTCCTAACTTTCAACTTTATACTGTTTATCGATTGGAAAAAATAAAAGTTGAATTAGAGAAAGAACTTAAAAAAACTAGTGGGGTATTTAAAGATAAAATTAACCTCCGTTTAACTTTTACCGAAAGTTTAATAGAGGGATTTAAGAAAGAAATCAAAATGTTGCCAGTAGGAAACCCTGAAGAAAAATTATCCTTAGGAGCCAGTGATGAAGAATGAGAAAAGGCTACTTTTTGAGCTCGAATTAATCGAGTAGTTGGTTATAAGGAATTTAAAGAAATATTTGCTGACTTTGTGGATGGTTATAATGATTTAGTTGAAGAAGGATTACAAGATAAAATCCCTAGTCAAATGTTTTTGCTTTTAGGTCCTCCTGGGGTGGGTAAATCTTTTATTAGTGAAATGATTGCCGAGGCTACTGACTTACCAATCGAAACAATTAGTATGAATGGTAAAAAAGAAACTAGTGTCTTCTTTGGAGTTCCTCAAGAATGAGCAGGGGCAGGAGTGGGAGAAATTTTAAAAGGAATGATCAAACATAAAAGTCGAGTAGTTATCTTTTTATTGGATGAGTTCGAGAAATGTGATAAACAAGTGCAAAAAGTTCTCGGTAATCTTACTGATAAAACTCTAAACAAGAAATTTAAGGATGTTTTTTATGATCGTCCTATCCCAATTAATCAACTTATTTTCTTTTGCACAGCTAATTATCCCGAAGATATTGAACAATTTTTACTTTCTCGATTAACTCCCGTGAAAATTCAACCTGCTACTTATTACGAAAGAATTGAGATTGCCCAAGACTTAATCGACTATAATTTCAGTTCTTATAAGATTAGTGATTTGGTTTCTAAATTCAGTGACAAATTAGTGAAAAAGTGTTTGACTAGAGAATGAGGAGTAAGAGGATTAAAAGATAATATCGAACGAATTGCTTATAAATGTTTCTTGCTCAAAAGAAGAGGCAATTTACCCGAAGATTGAGATGCTTATAAATGACCTATCATTGATAAAGAAGAAGTAGATAATGGTGATCCACAAAGAAATCGTCCTGCTTGTCCTTATTCTTTAGATCGAAATGCTGAACATCGAAAAGGTTGTGAATGTTTCAAACCTGAAATGATTGAGGGCTGAATGGATAATATGAAAGAACAAAGTCAAGAAAACTAATTTATATGTCTTTACCTTATATTAAGTGTCCTAAATGTAATGAAAGGAGTAGTAGTAAAGATTATTGAACTTGCCCTAGTTGTGGTTATGAAGAAACTAGAAAAAGTATTTTATTAGAAGAAAATAAAGACTATTCAGAACAAAGAAATAAAAATTGAGATAATCGAGATGAAGAGTTAAGGAAATGAATAGGAGAACAACAAAATCTTTGTAAGAAAATAATTAAAGATTGTTTGCCTAATCGAAAAATAGAAGTTAGTTTTAAAGAACCAATTGAAACAGAATGAGGTTATACTATTTATCGAGAAAATGATTTAGTAACTTCCCAAAAAGCCTATCAAAGATATTTAGAGTTAATTGCTCAAGGAAACTTTTTAGCAGCAGAATGGTTGGCTGAATACGGTAAATATGGTTTAATCAAAAAAAATGATGGATCATGTGAAATTAATATTTCCCCAAAAACTTTAAAAACTAAACATAGCACTGATACCCGTTATGGACCACGAGGAGCAGGATTTTTACCTACCACCACTCATGAAGTAGCTCATGTTTCTCATTTAGTTACTCATCACCCTAACTTTCAACCTTGAATAAATGAAGGGCATGATGATATTTGAAGAGAAGCAGCCATTAAATTCCATGAATGATGAAATGTTAACTAAATATGGAAAAGAAATTGAGGAAAGATTTAAAAAATTGGAAGAGATAGAAAAAGAAAAATAAGGTTATTTGTTTAAATGTTCTCGGTGTTTTTTTTCTTTGGTTTTGACTAAGTCAATATCACCCCAATCAAGAGGTTTACCACTACCACTTAATAAATTAGCATACTCGTGAGCTAAATCATTTCTTTCTGTTTCTAACTCTTTGATTTGCTTATTTATCTCAGTAATACGACCTTTTATTTCTGCTACTCTTTTATTTTTAATATTTTCTCTAACTATTGTTTCCATGATAAATATTATTCGACTTATATTATTCAATATAGTTTTATGAAAAATTATGGTAATTATTTATAATTTTACACACAACAGTCTTAACACCTATTTCTAAAATTAATAAGATAATCAGGTGAGGAAAATAATCCTGTTCAAGAGAAAAATTTTATATTATTGCCACTATTTATTAGACAATCATAAGTAAAAATAATAACAAGCAATTAATAAACTAATAGAAAAAATGAAGCAAAATATAAGAGAAAACACCTTAAAAGAGTAAATTAATTGTTCAGACTTTTTATTAACTAACAATCCATCCATAAAGCCTTTACGAAAATAAGGAACAAGTCCTTGAAAAAAGTTATTTAGGAGGTATTTCTATTTGGGCTTGAGTAGAAGACTGTTCTTGATTAATTTCGGAAATATTAGTTTGAGCAAGACCAAGAGTTAAGTCAAATTGTTTAGTCTTATATTCTTCTATTTTTTCAGTAATTTGTTTAGTATCTATCATTTTGCTAGTGTAAGTGTTTTGAGGATGAATTTCATATTGAGGATTAGGGAATAATAATTTTCTAAATTCTCTTTCTTTTTCTCATTCAGACTTAAAAACATTTTTTTGGCAAAATTCAGAATATAATTCTTCATATATTACTTTCACTTCCTCAAGTTTTATTTCTCTAATCTGACCTCGGTATTGCTGATAAAGTTTAGTTAATACTGGACAAAGATTATATTCATCTGCTTCTTGGATTTGTTGAGTAAATTGAGTAGTTTCTTTATTTCTGAGTTCTACACATCACTTATGTAAAATTCTACTTAATTCCTCAGCATTAGGTCTTTTTAAAGGATCATCATCTCAACATTGCTTAATTAAATCTTCTAATAAGGGAGGTATTTTAATTTGAAATTGAGGTCTTAATCCTTGACAGATTTTTATGGCTAAAGAAGTGTCATGAAGAAAATCAAAATAAGGAGGTAAACTGGAAAACATTTCATACATAATCATGCCAAAAGAATAAATATCTGCTTTTTTGGTATATTTACCTCCTTGTAATACTTCGGGAGCGACATAAGGAAGAACCCCAAATATTTCATCTTTTTCAGAAGTATTGACAAGTTTACATAACCCTAAATCTGTAATGTGAGGATAATGATAATCATTTAATATATTCCCACTATGGAAATCATGATGAACTAGGTTTTGGTCATGAATACGAAATAAGTAAATAGTAATATTTTCTAATTTATCAAGTTTATCTTCTCAACTTAATTTACTATAATTATTCTTTAAATATTCTCTTAAATTACCTCCTTCCATATATTTCATGACCATCACATAGTTTTTAGTGGTGGGATCTTGGGAGATGCCGTAGCAGTGAACAACAGTATTATTAACAGTATTCGCACCGGAATCAAGCAACTTAGTATTAGCGATCTCTCTTAAAAAATCTAAGGTAATATTACTTGAATTATTAAGGGATTTGAGGACAACCATTCTATCATAATTTTCTTTATCTTTTCCCCACTTAGCCTTATAAATCTTACTAAATCCTCCTTCTGTTAAGTATTCAATATTAGTAAATTCTTTGAAGGGGATTCATGACAATTTATCATTACCTCTGTAGTCTTTACCTTGTTGCTGAATAAACTTCTCAATTAATTGTTGTCCTTCCAATCCTTTTCATTCTTGTTCAGCACAAGATTGACATCAACCTTTACTAGTATTAGGTTGATAACATTTTAAACACCTACTAAACTTACTAAAGTGTTTATCTAGTCAAGAAACTAAAACAGTTAATTTACAATCAGGTCTTTCTTTGGTGGAATACCCAATATACTTTAAACTCTTAGGTAAATATTCTGTTCCTTCATGAAGGTCGGTATTGCTAATACCCAATGTTTCTAATTTATTCAAATTTTTTAAGGGTTCTAAAGAATCTATGAACCTATTATAAAGATTTTGATTAATGTTTTCTTGGGAAGTTGTGCCTATTCTTAAATCTTTTAACTCAATAAACCTAGAAAAACTACTTAAATCCTGAGGAGGGAAGTTATTATTGGTTAAGTCGAGTTTAGTTAAACTTTTACTAAGAGTATTAAAATCTAAATCAGTAAGTAGGTTAACACAACATTTTAGTAACTCTATATTGTTAGATAAGATTAATTGAGTCAGTTGGTTTTTATAGCAATAAAGTTCTTTCAACTGTTTACAATTACTAACATCTAAACTAGTTAATTGGTTATAAGAACAATCTAAGTATTCTAAATTAGGACATCCACTTAAATCTAACTCAATCAAATTAATATTATAACAATTCAATTTTTTTAAATTAATAAACTCTTCTAACTTTAAAGAACCTTCTAAATTATTTTGATTACTAATGTTTAATTCAGTTATTTCACTTCTTTTTTTACCATAGTCTTCGTGATTTTCTCCATCTTTTCAACCACGTTTTCTTATACAAGTTCCAATTTTAGGATAATTCTTATCCAATCATTCCTGAATGTTTTCCATGATTATTTTCCTCTATTATTTTTCTTTTTCACTAATAACCATCCAACAACTCCTACTGCTACTATTCCTAATCCTCCTAAAATATAAGGAGTTCAATTAGTAGGTTTGCCATTTTCCTCATTATTATCTTTACCTTTCATTACCTGCTCTTTATATTCTTGGTATTTTTGTTGAATTTCTTGAGGTGTTTTACCAGGACGGCAGGAAACACAACATGCATTATTAAAATCTTCTTTTTCTTTCAAACAAAAAGGACAAAGAGCTAGTTTTTCGTATTTTATATGACATTTAGAACAAGCAAATTTACCATCATTTTCATCTTGCCGATCTTTTCTGTCTTCATAACATTCATCAACTAAAATTACATGCTGACTTTCAACAGGAATATTTATTTGTTTTTCAAGTCTACCCAACTGAGCTAGACATATTTCACAATGCAGGGGCTTTTGAAGAGCATTATGAAATGGATTATTTCTTTCTCTTTCAGTTTTGCAATCATTGCAACTAACACTTCCTTTTTCTTGGTGCTGACAAGTATAAAAATTTCCTTTACTTCACTTTTTAAGATTAACCATAATTATATCCTTATAAAAGTGTTTTTACTGCTTTTTTTTTTTTTTTTTTTTTGCTAAAATAGGTTATATTTTCTATGAATTGCCCGCATAATAACATTTACTGAGAAGATTTTTTTAAAGAAGAAAAACTTAATGCCGATGGAAAAGTAAATAACAATTTTCAATGGCACGACATTTGTTGTTTAGATTGTGGCGAAACCAAGGGAGAAAAGTTTGCTCGTGCTGCTCAAAAGTGATATTATAAAAAAATTGAGGAATGACTATTGGCTAATGGGTTAGCGAAAAAATTCACTAATAGGGATAATGAAGAATTTATTTCTACTGTAGATTTCGCACTATTTCTTAGAAAAAAAAACTATGAAGAATACTGAAGTAAATTGAGTGTAGGAATTGTTGACCCAGATTTTTTTAATAGTAGTTTTGGTCCTCAATATATATTTCAAGAAGTTAGTATGGCAATAGAAAATTTTTGTAGGCAATTTAAAAAAGAAAAAGACCAAGAAGAACCAAATGATAGAGAGAGAGAGAGAGAGAGAGAGAGAGAGAGAGAACAAATTAGAAAAAAGATAAAGAAATTAGAAAACAAATCTAATCGCACTCCGGAAGAAGAAGCCGAATTAGCCAGATTAAAAAATAAACTAAAAGAATTAGAAAATAATCAGCAAGAAAAGGGTTTTAATTATCTTCCTTGAATACTGGGAGGAAGTGTTTTAATAGGAGGAATAATTGTTGTTATTTTACTTGTCAACAATAATAAGAAAAAGAAATATTATTAAGTATTTTCTCTTAAATATTTGTTAGATATTTTTAAACTCATAGTAAAACACTAACTCTTTAAAAATTGTTCTAAAAATAAAGTGCTTTTACTATCTAATTACTAAATACTTTAAAAAAGTTTTGTTCGACCTAATCTTTCCGCTAATTCTTCTAATAAAGCTTCAGTTGATAAACCTAAAACAAAGCAAAGTTTTCTTTCGATATTGATCATCATTTTTTCTTCCGCGGTGGTAACTTTTTTTCCTAAAAACCTCCTAACCTTGTCCACTGTGGTAATCTGATCAACTAAGATTTTACCAGTTTTTCTGTTAAAGTAGGTTTCTATCTCAAAATGATAAAGTTTATCTCCTTTCTTACGAGAAGTAATCGGCAAAATAATGACTACTGGACTAACTTGGTTTTGGATGTCATTAGAAATCACGACCGCTAAATGCTTATCTTTTAATTCGCTTCCTCTTTTATCGGGTAAATCAACTCAATAAACTTCACCTCTTTTAATTAATTGCTGAACCATTGTTTATTTTTAGCTTTCTTATTCCTTTCTGCTCAATCATTAAGAGAAGCTTGTTCTCACTGCTTAAATTCAACTAACCTTTGTGGATCGCTTCATGCTTCCTTATATTCGCTTAATAACTCTTTTTCATTTGGTCAAGAAGCATTAGTTTCAATTGTTTTTTTTCATTTACTAACGATTAAGATTAGAAGCGGCTTAATTTCTTTCAATAATGAATCAACTGCTAGTTCAATTTTTTTTTCTTCATATTGAGAAGACATTAGAGAATTAGTTAAATCATTTAACTCCCGCTTACTAATTTCTTTACTAGCAATTTTAGTTTTTAATTTCCTAATCAATTCTTGGTTAGTTTCTTTGATTTGTAGGCGGTTCATGATATTTTATTTATAGAGTATTATATTAAATAATTTTAATGTTTTGTTAAGTTAGAGTGGTTTTCCTTGCCATAACTTACTATAATCAGCATACAAAGTTTGATAATCATTGTGAATATATCCCAAAGTAGTATCTAAATTGGAATGTCCTAGTTGCTTTTGGATAGTTTGCAATTTAATTCCACAATTATAGGAATTAGTGGCTAAACTTCTTCTAAATGTGTGGGGGCTAATCACTTTTTTAATTCCTGCTTGTTTAGTTTTTCTTACAATATTTCTTCTAATTTGTCCTTTAGTGAGTTTCTTTCCATTTCTAGTTAAGAAAAGATAAGAACGATTATAAGGTTTAAAGTATTTAGTTAGGAATTCTGGTAAAAGAATATATCTTACCTTATTACCTTTACCGTGTATTCGTAAAAGTTTATTTTGGTAATCGCAGTGACGAATATTTATTAATTCACTTACTCTTAATCCAGTGTAGAATAAAAAATCAAGAATAAGTTTATTTCTGTCATTAGTTTTTTGATTGGTTTTAGTGTTCGTTTGTTTAATTTTTTCCAAGTCTTCATAATCGACAGTGGGAAAAAATCTTTTTTGAACTGATGGAATTATTTTGCTAATAGTTTTTCATTCTACTGTAGCATATTTTTTTTGGAATCTAGCATAGGAGGCTAAGGCATTCCTCTTACTTCTTAAAGTTGCTGGTTCACATTTAGTTAAATTTTTCCTAATAAATTCAGAAATAGAAAAGGTATTTATTTCTCTATTTCCATACTGATTAAGTATTCGTAAATACTTTTTAATAGTTTCTGAAGCAAAATTTTGTTGTTGTAATCATCGAAAATATTCACTAAGTCTATTAGTTTTTTTCTTATTTTGGTTTTTCATATATACATTTTTATTATACCAGTATAAATATAGAAAGAAAAAAATATTAAATTACCCTTTCATGAATATAGTTTCTTATTTTTTGACGCTTCTTATTATTTTCGATTTGTTCTAAAAAGTCTCATTTATGTTTTCTATACAAATTTTTTAGACATTTATCACAAATATACTTTTCCTTGTTTTCTTCTTTTTCAGTCCAATAACCTCAATTATTTTTCTTACTATATTCTTTGTGAGGAGGAACAAATTTTACTAGTAAATTATTTTGGCATTTAAAACAAGAAACAGTAAGCGGTTTTTTTACTATCGGCATATACTAAATATTTTTTATAACTATGTCTTATACCTTTTTTAATACAAGCAAAACTATTGCGATAAACAGAGTCATGCACAAAAATATATAATATATAAGAAAATTGTTGATTGATTTTTGAAAAAATAAGAAAATTGTAAAGTTAGTTTGCGTGGTTTAGTATTTAATTAACTCTGGATCTTTTGATCCGAAGTCAAACACTCTAATCCACTGAGCTATAGGCGCTTAATATTAACTAATAACTTTATTTTGTAAATAAACTTATCATGTTAGATCTTGGAACTACACTCTTATGATTCTTAATTACACTTATCTTAATTCTAAGTTTATTCTGAATTTATTTTTACTTTTTTGCTCCTAAAAAAGAAATTCAAAAAGAAAAGAAAAAGCGTAAACACGGAAAGAAAGGACTTAAACCTTAAACTGAATCAATAATCATTCTCCTTAAGAAGTTTTAAAAAGAAGAATATTTTCAATTACTTCTTTGACCCAAACTTAAAAAATTGCTTGAACTCTAATTTTTAGAAGGAACTTCAATTTGAGCAACTTGACTATTTTGTCGCTCTTTTAGTTTCTTATTATCTTGAGTTAACTCAATAATTTTTTTCGCTTGTTCTTCAATCTTGTCTAATAGTTCCTGTTTTTGTCTCTTACTTCATTTTTCAGACGTTTTCATGAAATCCTCGCGGGCTTCGCGTTCCTCTCTGTTTTCATTTTCCAATTTCTCGATTTTTCGAGTTAGCCTTAAAACTTCAAGGTTGCGGCTATGACCAAAACTTTCCAAATCCTTTTGAAAAGGTGTTTCTTTACAATCAAGAGTTTCAACACTAGAAGGCAAACCTTCTAGTTTTCCAGCAATGTTTTTTTGTCCCTCGATAGACAACTCCTTTAATTTTTGGCAGTTTTTCAGCATTTCTAGGGATCCACTGAAGTCATTATAGGATTTCTCACTTTCATTTGTCCTTGTTAATAGTGCTAATTCTCCTGTCAAATAAATCCCTCTTGCACTCCTTGGGTATCGGCCTCATTGTTGCACCATTTGTGCTAATGAACTTACTTCTTCCGATTTTTGCAATTGTCTGTGGATATCGAAACCTAAATCTAACTTTTGTAAATTAACTAAGTGTGAGAAAATATCGAGTTTGGTGCAACTAATCCGATTGTCATAAATATTAACTACTTTTAACTTTATGTTTTTGCTTAGGTCTAAACTAGCAAGTTGATTTTGCGAGCAGTCTAAAATTTCTAAGTTTATAAAGTCTTGTAAATCAAGATGACCTTCAAGATTTTCTCTTCTAATTTTTAATTCTGTAATGCTATTTCTTTCCTCTTTTGGATAATTTTGATCCAATCACCCTTGAGCGTTTACCATAATACATTGTTTTACTTTTCTTTACTTTCAAAAAAAAATTCTTAGATCAAATTAGTTGCTAAGTAAAAAAAAATAATAAATATTAGGCTAATCCATTATTTTCATACTTGTTAGTTTAGCTCAGAGGCAGAGCAACTCCATGGTAAGGAGTAGGTCGATGGTTCAATTCCATCAACTAACACCAAAATTTTATAAGCAATACTGAAACACATCCTTAGCAAGCAGCAAACGAACTTCAGTATTTAAGATAAGAAATCTAATAAAAGATTTCAAAACCATAGTATACCATAAACTTTTCTAAATATTTTGTGTTTTTTTAACTCAAAAAAGCATCAAATATTAATTTATTTTATTTTAAAATAATTGGCTAAAAAACTAGCTACTCCATCACTGTTAAGGGCTCCGCAATCAGTTATTCCATAGGCATAGGTTTTTAGGAAACTTTCGCTATCAGCTGTCGCAATACCTTTACCAACCGTATGCATTAATTCTATATCATTAACGTCATTACCAAAAGCAATCGTATGGGATAAAGGAATATTATAATAACTGGCTACTCATTCCGCTCCCATCCCTTTGCTAGCAAATTTATTCCGAATCTTTATAATAGTTTTGTCTGGGTCTGGAACAAGAACTTTATCACCAGGATTTTTAGCTTTTAATTTACTTCCAGAATAAAAAGTAACCGAAGCACTATATTTACTACGTAACAGCATTAAAATATTATTAAACATTTCTTCATTTTTAGGAAATTCTAAAACTAATTGCAAAGCATCTTGCTCTCCCAGAAGTTTTAAAATATCTTTGCCCTTCGTGTAGGGGTTACCGTTAAAAAAAATCTCTTCGTAGTAAATGTCATCGCTAGTACTAATGGTGGTACGATCTAACTTGTCAACTAAAGTATTACAAAGATTTTGTTTGATTATTGGTTCACCTAGGATATCCTTAACCGTTTGATTAGCAATCGGGTTAAGCACTAACTCTTCAGCGTTATTTTTAGAAGGATTATTAATAAAAGCTCCGTTATAGGTAATTAAAAAAGTATCTAGACCTACTTCCTTATAAAAAGGCAAAGCAGACAAGTAATTTCGTCCAGTGGTAAAACAGATTTTATGACCTTGTTTCTTTAATTTTTGCAAAACTCCTTTTAGTTTTTGATTTAAAGTGGAAAAGTCAGGATTAGTACTGGTTCCATCAATATCTAATTTAATTAAATGTTTTTCTTGATTACTTGATATTTCTATATTCATATGTTATATTTAAACCAAATTAATTGCCATTAAGCAATTTTTTTGTTTCTAAATCATTTTTAGATTGAGAAAATTAAAGGATAAATTAATTACTCCTAATTTTCTCTTAAAGATGATCAAACTCCTTTTGGAATAATCATTCTTAATAGATATTTATGAATAAAAAAGAAAACAAATCCAATCATAATTAATCCACTAACTAACAAAAGACCTAAAACAGGCACTAAATAAACTGCTTCATCCTTCTTTTTAATCTCCTCCTGCAAAGGATTTTTTTTATTTTGTTCAGGTTCTTTTCTTATTCCAACCAATCGCCAATCATACTAGAATCGCTACTCCTGCTAATACACTACCACCAATAATTCAGGGAGTTCAATCAATTTTATTATCATTGATTTGTTCCTGATAAACCTCTCCTTGATTATCTTTTTCCAGAGTTAATTTACTTTCACTAATTTTGTCCGCATAAGTTAAATCCGCATGTTCATTACCGCCTTGATTAGGGGAAAAATAGATCGCAATTTTTTTAGTTCCTTCAACCTGGCATTCATGCTCTTGGTGATAAGCCAAGTCGGCCCGGGCTTGTCGTTTGGCTGCTTCTCAATCCTTAATCTTTTTGTCTAATACAATTTTACCTCAACAGTGGCGACAAGCATAGAAATGACGAGTTTTAGATGTTTTGGCTTTTTCTCAGTGCTCTTGTCTAACTTTCTTTACTTCCTCGTTTTTATTTTTCAACGAGCAATTATTTTCGTGGGCGGCTAATTCTGCTGCAATTTTTTTCTCAGCCGCTAGATGTTCTAGGCTTTTATCATAATGAAACTCTTCCGGACAATAACGACAAACTTTACTGCGGGTATAGTGAACTTCTTTTTTGTGTTTTTCCGCAATCTTTTCTCTACCTTTTTGTTGAATTGGTCTCAAAGTAGCATAATCCTCACCAAATTTCTCTTTCTTCTGAACTTCCCGGGTGGTTTTAATGGCCGTTTGGGCAGCCTTTACCGCCGCTAAATCGGCAGCATCATCAATTTTTTGGCTTTCCTCGGCGGTTAACGGAGGATTTCAATCGTTCCCATCGGCGTCTTTACTTTTGGCTTGGTTTTTAGCCGCGGTCAGTGCTTGGATTTCCTGTTTTCGTTTGGCCTGGGCGTCTACTAAATCTTGCTTTTTCTGACCCGCGAGCAGGCTTTGATCTAACGCCTCAATATTAGCAGTTTCTCAGTCTACTTGTTGGGCGGTCGTGGCTTGCTGAATCTGTGCCAAAATATCGGCATATTTTTGCTTTTCGGCTTTAATTTCCTGGTCACGAAGGTAATTAGTTAGACCGTCAGCACTGTTTAAATCATAGCTTTTGCCTTCTACTTCAATTGAACCATCGTCCCGGACCTCTTTTATTCCGGCATTATATAATTCGGCCGCTCGGCGACCAGTGGTGATTTTGCCGTAGTAATGCCAAATTTCATTATCCGTCGCGGTCGCAAAAGTTTTAAATTCAGTGCTAAACTTCTGCTTATCAGTTCTTATCTCCGTAATTACTTGGTCAACCTTATTTTCCCGAGTTTGTAAATCAGCGGTATCAGTGGCATTTTGTAAATAAACTCATCAAGTTTCCGCACCAGTAATCAAGCCGTCTTTTGCTAATGCTTTGGTTAGTTCAGCCTCAGTTACCAGTGGAGTATTGGTCAACAAGTCATTTTTCACCTTCCAAACTGCCTCTTTTATTTCAACTACCAGTTTTTTCTCACTCATTGGGTAAATTCTTCCGGCAATTGTCCCATAACCGGAACGGGAACCATTTGCTGGTAAGGCTATTTTAGCATCTCAACCATTTTCAAAATACCTTCGTGCCACTAGGGGAAAATATCCTTTTTTTCTTCATTTCTCCGCTTCTGCTTCTTGCTCAGATCAGTCAAGAGAATTTAAGCGGTCATTAGGTAAGTTCTGAATATTTCTTTTCCTAAAAACAATACAATAATTTGCAGTATCTAAATTTGACTTTTTATTCGATATCAGTTCTTTTAAATGAGCAAAATCAAGGAAAGTGTTGTAAGAAAAATAATGGATTCTTCCATTACTTAATATTTTAACCTGCCCCGTGCCATCACTTGGACTGTTAATGGTTAAATCAGTTCAGCCATTTTTTCAGGCGGTTTCGGCTTCGTCAGGGTTTAAACCGCTGTCTTTTCAAACCATTTTTTGTGCTTCGCTAAAACTAATTCCAGGTTTCGCAAAGAAAACATTTCATTTCAGATTAGATTCGGCTGTGTCAATCAATTTCCTTAAATCTGCTTCTGCTAAACCGCTTGGCAGAGTTTCCCCAGTCAAGGTATTTATCTTAGTTTCCCAAGTCGCTTTTAAAGTGCCTCAATTATTCAGAGCAGTTTGGTTTTGGTTCTTAATTTCATCCTCCAATTCCAAAGCCGTTTCTAATTTAATTCTTTTAATGTCTAAGACTGGAATGCCACTTTTGGTTAGTGTTTTCCCGTTCGCTGTAAATTGGTGATTAGTTAATTTGTTGCTAATGTTGGCAGGTTCAGTTCAACCGTTCTCACGAGCTCGTTTTTCCTCCAATCCGTCTTTGGCCAGACCAGTATTATTAGTTAACCAAGCTTCATAGCGGGTTTTTTCACCAGCAGTAATCGCTGCCGTAGGCTTGGCTGGTAAACCTTCAAATTTTCATTTAAATATTTTTAATTTTTCCTCATCTCTAAACTTTTTTATCTCGTCATATTTCCATTTTGGACCTACTAAATCTTCAAGATAAAGATTTTTAACATCATGGTTGCTCTTCAATTGTTTAATATCGGTAGTGTTAGCAATATCAACCAGCAATTGTAAAACTCTATCTAATTCTTCTTTATCATTTTCCAGTATTTTCAGGTCATTAATAGCAACTCAACCAGGATAAGTATAAGTAATTTTTCCGTTGCCTAAAACAGTAATGCGGCCATCAATAAGGGATTTTCAACCTCGGTTGTGGGCAGTTCGGGCTTCTTGGACAGTTAAGCCGCTGGTTTTTTGTCAAGCGTTTTTTTCGTCCGCAGAAAATTTTTTACCAACAAAGAAATCTTCCCACTCGGCCAGAGGTTGATAGTGCTGGTAAAGTTTCTCAACTATTTTATCAATTTTTTCGTTCAGAACAGCTCAGGCAACACTTTTATCACTACCCACGAGAGTATTAACAAACCTTGATAAGAGGTTATAATTTGCTCGGTCAAAGTTAACGGCTGAAATATCTCAACCGTCGTCCAGTGTGCCGCCCGACCCACGAATACTTCGGGCAATATTTAATAACGAGCGAAGTTCCACAACTTTTCCCGGAGTATTGAGTTTGGCATGGTTGAATAACTCTTTTTCGCGGTCGCTTAATGTGGGAGTTCATTTTGTTTCTAAAACAAGTAATTTTTCCATTAATATTTCGGCTCGTTGGAGCTTATCAGTTTGCATATTGATTGCCTGTCAAGCTCTTTTTTTGCTGCCAATGCTACTTCGGTCATCGCGGTAGCTGTTTAAATCTTGCCAAGCAGTAGTAGTATTATTAGCCGAGAGAGCGGCTAAATCATTTTCGGTTGCTCTAATTTTGCTTAATAATTCCCGCGTGTGGTTAATATCCTCAACGCTGGTTAAACAGGCATTATCAAAAATCGCTTTTTCCGAGTCCGACAAGTTTCATGCTGTATTGTTGTCGTCCTGGTGCGTTTTGGCGTTATCTCGGGCCACCAGAAAATGTTTGCTAATTACCAAGCCGTTGTATTTAACGACACCATGGGAAACAGTGGCGGTTTGGTCGTTGGCATTTCAATCAAAATCACTTCCCCAACCATGTTTAATAAGAGTGAGAGCTTGTGACGCAGTAAGCCCGTCCCGATAGTAAGTTAAAATTTTTTCAATAATAACTTTTACATCTGCGTCTCCCAAAATATTAGGTAAATCGATACTGTTTGCGGCTGCTTTATTTCCTAATTCTGATACTCATTCAAGTTGGCTCTCGCTGACTTCATTTGCCACTCAACCTTTTTGCTGCAAAAAGTCAACCAAAACTTTATCCTGGGCGTCATTCAAATAAATATAACCTTCATCCTTATTTCCCATTTCTGCTTTTCAACCATTTTTTGCGGCTTGTCCCATTACCGAACCGGTAATTTTGTCTGCTTTTGCTCTTACTTGATAATAAGCCCTAATTTTATTCTCTTTTTCTTGGTCCAAAGGGGTTATTTCCTTACCTTGGTCGTCTAAATACGCTCCATGAACTTGTAAAAACTTGTCTTTAAATATCAAAAAATCTAAATCAGCAACGGCTTTTTCCAAATCAGTTTTTTTGTCTTGGGCGGCTTTCTGTTCGTAACTATTTCCCCCCTTCTGGTCGGCTCAATCTAAAAAGACTAGTAATTCGGCTAACAATGACTGGCGTCCGTTAGCGGCTACGGTAGCCACTGCGTCAATTTTGTCCTTAATTTTTTTCTCTGCTTCGGTTTCACTTTTGGCCGCCGTAAGTTCTGTTTTTTTCTTCGCTCAATCCTGGTGAAATTGCGTTAACAGTTCATTCGGAATAGTGGTTAAAGTGCCTAATTCCGCTCCCATATCTTTCTCGGCGTTGGTTTCGGTATCAATCGCCGCTCAGGCTTGGCAAAAATTCTTCAATTCCTCGTAGTTAACTTCTAGCGTTTTAATATTAGCGACTGTTTTGCCGGCTTCGGTGCGTTCTGGCAAAATAAAGTCCTTGGTTAAATCGGCTAAAAGTTTGGGGGTTCATTTGTTATCCCGCAGAGTTATAAATTGTATTTTTGTCGGTAATGCAAACCCAGTAACCTTTTCTGGGATTTCCTCTCAGAACAATTTTTCTCATTCTTCTCGGTTTGTTGGGCCCGGAAAAACACCCTTCATATCTCTAATGATACTAAGCACATTTGGCACTTCCTCTTTCTCCTCCTCAATTTTCGCCTCGGTATACATTCTTCCTCACTTTTCCTCTTCTAATTCTCTTATTTCCTCTTCTAATTCTCTTATTTCCTCTTCTAATTCGGCTTTTTTGGGCTCCCAATAGGCTTGGTGTGCCTCCGGATTTTCAAAAGTTAATGTTCCTTCAACAATTCGCTTCAATTCCTCTTGTGCCTTAGTGAGGGCAATATTTTTTTCCTCGCGGCTCGCTTTTTTGGCTTCTAATATTTCCTCCCAATTTTCTCTTCTCTCTATTTGATATTCTATTTCTGCCTCGCTAAAATTTCCTGTCCTATCTTGTTCAAATTCAGCAAGGTCATACTTTCCCGGTTCATAATTGATCTCGACCGTTCCTAACTCATCATTATCCACAATCGCAAATTTTAAACATTCGAAAGCATTTTTGTTGACAAATTTTCCCTCCTTATTTAATATTTTTCCTCCCTCTGCTAAAAGTTTCGCAATATCATCCCACTTGCTGGTTATGATACTTTTTTTTTCTAGACTATCAATTTGAATATTTTGTTCTTCTTGGTATCCTTTTTTAGGTAAAAAACCAAATCTCTTAAAAATAAAGCCGAATTGTTTCCCTTTAATTAAAGTATATTCACTTTTTTTAATGACATGTTTGAATATTGCCAAACTGGCAAGTTCGCCCGTGGTGGTTAAATGACTTGCTCCGCCGATGGACTTACTATCTCCATTATCTCCATTATCTCCATTATCTCCATTATCTCCATTATCTCCATTATCTCCATTATCTCCATTATCTCCATTATCT